ATCTGCTTCAGCCAGTGGCTTAGCAGAGTAGGGCAAGGCAGGAGTTCCAAGCAGCTAGAGGAGGAGAGAGTAGGTGGAGCTGGAACCTTGCAGGTAGGCCATGAGCGTCATGGTAAAATAATAAAATAACAGAAATGGGTTAATTCTAGATGTAAGAGCTAGCTAGCAATATGCTTAAGCTATTGGCCAAACAGTATTGCAATTAATATAGTTTCTGGGTGATTATTTTGTGGTCTGGGCAGCCAGGAACAAACAAGCAGCCTCCCCCAACATAGATCTTGGATTGTCATTGACTGTTGTTCTGGTATGATAAGCACATATCAGAACAGGATCACAGTGAATATTGCTAGCTCTGTCTAGACAACAAGGTCCCCTTCCCACTCTGTTGCTATCATGGACTGTGCCACTCATTGTCTGGCTGTAACAGCCTCCTGACTGGTCTCTCTTCTTCCTTCTTTGGCCTGTTTCAGATTGTTCTCAATAGAGAATCCAGAATGGACTGAGGAGATGCTTATGGGGGTAAAGGAATGCTGTGTAAGCAAGCGCCAGAACCCGAGTTCAAGCCCCCAGAATTCATGTGAAAGCTGGAGGCTGGAACAAATGCACACCTGTAATTCTAGTGCACCTGTGACTCTAATATTAGTTAATATGCACACCTATGTGCCAGTGTTAGTTAATATCCACACCTGTGACACTAGTGTTAGTTAATAGGCACACCTGTGATTCTAGTGTTAGTTATGATGCACACCTGTGACTCTAGGATTTTTTAATATGCACACCTATGTGCCCAGTGTTAATATCCACACCTGTGATTCTAGTGTTAGTTAATATGAACACCTGTGATTCTAGTATTAGTTAATATGCACACCTATGTGCCCAGTGTTAATATCCACACCTGTGATTCTAGTGTTAGTTTATAAAGTGAGATGGGAAACTGGAAAGGAGCATTGTAGACGTTCCTGGGCCAACTGCCTTGAAGGCCACAGTGACAAACAGCAAAGAGGCCCCGTGTCAAACCGGTGACAACACTGGGAAGCCATGGCAACCCTTCCACATACAATAAAAGTAAACTTTGCTCTCTTTGTAGACTCCACCAGTGGCTTCCCATTTCTTTTAGAGCAAAAACCCAGCCCTTCGGTGGCTTAGGAGGCCCACAGTATCTGCCAATCAATCCCTCCTGTTCCTTTGAGCTCATCTCTTATGCTCACCATCCCTCCTACACAGAAGGCATGAGCATGCAGCCCCCCACAGGGCCTGTCCTACACAAAAGGCCTGAGCACACAGCCCCCTACAGTGTCCTCCTACACAGAAGGCCTGAGCACACAGCCCCCACAGTGTCCTCCTACACAGAAGGCCTGAGCACACAGCCCCCACAGTGTCCTCCTACACAGAAGGCCTGAGCACGCAGCCCCCACAGTGTCCTCCTACACAGAAGGCCTGAGCATGCAGCCCCCCACAGTGTCCTCCTACACAGAAGGCCTGAGCATGCAGCCCCCCACAGTGCCCATCCACTCCTGTCCTAGACGGCTTTCATCTCTTCAGGCATTGGCTCTAACACGACTCCTCTGCAAGACATTCTCTGAGCACTTGGTTAAAACTGACTTCCCAGAATCCCACACCCCCTGCTACTACTTCATTTTTATCCTCCATGTTTATTACCACCTAACATATATGTGCTTTCCTATATCCTAACATGCTCCAGGGGTCCCCAGAGCCACAACCAGTGTCTGGCATCAGGATGCTTTTATAAAACACAGACTGGCCGGTGAAAGGTGATGGTGGACACTACAACCAGAACAACCTATTTCCTTTCCTTTTTCCTAAGTTAGCGTCTCCACTCCCTTTTAAGAAGATGGACTCTGGGTGAAAGCGTTGATTTCCTCACCAAAGGCTCCTTTTTATTAGCCCATGTGTTGATGGGCTGCTTCAAGGCATTTGGTGTTTGACTGTTGCAGTTTATGTACAAGCATATCTTGGATACATCTTTTTTTTTTGTCCCAAGCCGCCATCCCTGCCCAGCTTTGATGTGAGTGGTGGGAATTTCACAGCCAGGGCTCCTACCTGCTGAGCCATCTCCCTTATCTCCTACATCCTGGACATGAATCTTGTACACTGGACAGAGACTTTCTCCTCGTTCTGAAGACTGTCTCTTCATCCTGGTGACATTTTCCTTTGTTGGGCAGACAGCTATGCTTTGTTGACATGGTTACTTACAATACATATAGTCAGACTGAATAACTGATTATCTCCCATCATTCCCTTCCAATAGTCTCCGCCATGTATAGCCAAAGCCTTCCCCAAATGCTCTTTTGAACACACACACACACACACACACACACACACACACACACGAAAGCCCATCTGTGAGCTGTGAACGAGAAACCCTACTCAGACACATGAGAAACGGTGTCCAGTTAAGACTACTTCATTGGAAATCCAAGCTAGAACAGGAGCATGGCATCATTTGGCACCATTCTCCCTAGTGCTCCATGTTTCTGAGAAATGCCCAGGATGGCTCACTCTCACCCAACTTCTGCATCAGAGCAACCATGCAGATAAATGTGTGACTGTTGTGGTCTCCAGGCGACAGTGTCCAGACAATACATCCAGTTTCCCTGTGCTGTGAAGCACAGTGGTCACAGCCTACCCCTCTGCTGTGAAGCACACACAGGTGGTCACACCTTACTCTGCCAGTGTCCAATTTTCCTTCCCCTATGAGAGACAAAAATCTCCTCTCCTGGGGCCACGATAGTTTTTCAACCCCAGAAATGTCTCAAGCTTCCTGCTTTGAACCCCATGTATCATCTTAAGCCATTCCTGTCAATTAGGAAACAATATTTTTCAAAGTGTTCAGACTACAGTGGTGGTTTAGTGGCTCAAGTGCCTGCTGTGACATCAGGAGGGCCCGAGTTTGGATCCCGAGCGCCCATGTAAAAACCCAGGCATGGAGGTGCACACCTGTAATCCAGCAATGGGAGGCAGAGGCGGGGGGATCCCTGGAGCTCACTGGCCAGCTAGTCTATGGCCCTTAGGAGAACCATGACAATTTGGCTAGGCTTCTCATTTCTCATGGGGGTTGTTAGAAGGTTAGCTCAGGAAACAGGACTACTGAATTTTTCAAGAAATGTTTGAAAAAAAGTCACCAGACCAGGTCCAGAGGAAATTCCTTTTCAAAAGTTGAAGGGTTTGCGTAGCAAATTGTAGACAGATTTTTCTTTGGGCTGCCAGTTCACAAAAAAACGACATAGACATTAATTATGAAAGCTCGGCCTTAGCTTTTGTTCCTAACTAGTTCTTATAACTTGTATTAACCTGTATCTTTTAATCTGTATCCTTTTATGTGGCTCAGTTACCTTTAGTCTGTACCTGCCCATCCTGTTCCTTCAACATCTGGCTGGCAACTCTGCCTTCTTCCCAGCATTCTCTCTCTGCTAGAAGTCCCGCCTATCTCTCCTGCCCAGCTATTGGCTGTCCAGCTTTTTATTACACCAATCACAGCCATACACCTTCACAGAGTAGAGATGAGAGCATGAGAGTTCTGCAAAGGTGGGTGGGAGCGTGGTGAAGGTCTGGATACAGCCTGTGACTCCTTGGCTATGAACTGTGAGGCTGTGATACGGTCAGATTTTCTCCACTGATTTAAGAAAAACAAGGTCTCAATACCAATTTTGTTGTCACACACACACGCTCCCCATACAGGATTTGGGCAGAGGGTAGTAGATGGGAACTGTTAACAATGTCTGAATCTGAGGGTCGGGGCTCCCTTATCTTTAGAGGTGGTATGGGTTCCCATTCTCCCTCTGAATTGGGATATCCCCGGGGATTGGGTTGTCCAGGCAAAAGGGGAAGCTGATTGGTCCTGAGACAGGAGCCCATCAGTGGGAGATTTTACACACACACACACACACACACACACACACAAAGAGAGAGAGAGAGAGAGAGAGAGAGAGAGACAGACAGACAGACAGACAGACAGACATGGTGTGTGTGTGGGCACATCATTGTCTTGAAGAACTGGCCTTCTTACATGTTTAAGTGGAAAATACACTAACCTGCCTGAGCATCTTTTCCCTGCCTGCCTTGGGTGGGAGGAGCCATCTTAGCCCCTCAGCTGGGGTCACCTTGGTGCCAGAGGGAGCTGAGTACAGCATGCCTATCAGTCAACAGTGGCTGTGTGCAGGAACGAAGGAGACAAGAGCTTCGGAGAAAGCAGTCTTGTCTCTCCCCACCCAGACATCTGTGGGCAGCAGAGGAAGGCTGTGAGCCTAGAGGCAGAGGCTCAGCTTAGAGATCTCACTAAGCCCTTCACTGCTCCTTCCTACACAGGCTGTTACTGCTAGAGAAGACATGGAGGTGCATGCTGAAGTTATCCTGTACCGTCACATTCTAAAGTTAAGTCCTAAGAGTAAGTCTGATTTGGGAACAAATCTTAATTGCATGGGGAGTGGGTGGGTGGGCTTCCCAGACCCAATCTAACCCTCATGGGCTTTCTAGAAGCCACATTGAAGGAACACAGCACCATGTTGGTTCCTGAAATGTAAAACAATAATTTCCTAAGAAGGGAGCACACCCAGGAGAAACTGGTCCTCTGGAGCACTATTTATAACTTGCTGAATGACCTTGGCGGAGACACTGGAGTTCTTTTGGTGAAAGAGGCCATTTCTACTCAGAAGTACACTTCAGGGGGAAATTAGGAGACCACAAAGCAGAGAGGTCTAACACCTGGTATCTTTCTGTCTAAAGCCACAACTTGACCATGAATGAATTTCCAGGCACAGGCTCTGCAGGTTCCTCAGATGTCATCCACGCTGGGGGTGGGGGTGCTCACCTGGCAAGGCAGGAAGATCTTGAGTTGGAGGCCAGCCTGGGCTACAAAGCCAGTTCAGATATCAGAAAGCAAAACCAAAACGCACCTCCACCAACACAATAAAAACCAAACCAATAGCAACAACCCCTCCCCCCCCAAAAGCCAAACAAAATAAAGTCAAGCCACTTTTTAGTATTTTTATAAATTTATTAAAAAACAGTTGCAATGACATCGATGATCATCTGTATTCCCCTTGCTGGTGGGGAGACTTACATAGTTGAGTCCCAAAGGAAAATCAAGACATTATTATCAGGCACCCTGTAGCCAGGAAAAGCTACTGGTGCAGTGTCTAGACACTGGTGTGTCCCATTACCAGTGCAATTAAAATATATACATGTAGTTATTCTGCAACAGAAGCACTCAGGAAGTACAGAGATGCAGAGACCAGCAGCCCACTCCCCGACTCACTCTGTGTCTTTGAAGCCATCACTACAATTCCAAGAACAAGTAAAAAGAACTAAATTAAACAAACAAAAATCCATAAAAATGAGTCCCCCTATGGGTTATTACGTTGTGCTAGAATAACCACAATGCAAGGGTCATGGGCTAACTGCAATGCAGTGACAACATGAAACCCAAGCATCTATTTCAAAGGAAATAAAACTCAAATTTGCCTTCCTCAAAATGAAACTCAGCAACAATATGAGGTTAAGATTATGTACAAACTTACAAACACAAATAAATAGCGTTCTACAAGTGCTGGCTTAAACACTAGACATTAGGTCTGAGGAATCCCTGAACCCTTCTTTCCTTTAGAATCCTTACCGCCACAAAGGCAGAAATCCCTCATGGAATAGTCAATAGCTCATGTCAAGAGCCAGAAGTTTTTAGTAGATTTACTAAAAAAGGATTAGTCCCCTCTTACATCTGGAAGCCAGGAGAAATGGCAAGATTCCTGGGAGAAGGGAACGATGGCTTACTTCCTGCTTCTCCGATTAAACTGGTCTCCCTGTGATGTTCCTTTATAAGGTTAAAATCTTTCCCATTTTTAACACAGAACAAAGTCAAAGAGCCAGTCTTTAGACTTGACTGGTATTTTAACCAACCCCCAAAGTCTTTGGAATGACTGTTTGACTTTGATTGCAGAGCATACAGCTAACTCTTCTGAAATGTCAACCATGGCTTTCTCCTCCAGGCCTCAGCATGCACAGCAGATTCCGGGCTGGGTGTGTGTGGCTCAGTGGTAGAGTGCTTGTCCAGAAAAGATCACTGAGGCCCAACTCACCCCAGGGACTGTGAATTCCTGACCCTGCAGGAATCTTCTTCCCGATCTGTAGCTGAACCCTACAGCACAGATGTGTGTGCAATCTTGTTCCAAGGCCTCAGGGAAAGGAGAAAACAGTGGAAACTGGCACCAAGGAAATCAGCTGCCATGGGAAGAGCATTCACCCTCGGGGCCAGCACACAGAGGAAGGGTGGAGCCCAGTCTCCTTCACTCTGAGCTCCAGCAGTGTCCAGTCTGTGTTCAGGACAGCTGCCTAAACAGTGCTTTTCAGACAATATAAGGAGCACACCTCCAACTTCCCTCTTATGCACGCCAGAAGGTTGTCAGTGTGAATGTGGTTTCTTCAGCTTAAGAGCCATGCCTGGTGTCCAGCCACTGGACAATCATGCTCTGTGACAGCACTCGGGCAGGCAGGACACTTGTTCTCTACACTGAAATGCACAGATCCTTCCATTCCCTGCTGTCATAAAGCCCATGATTAAAAATCCTACGTTTGCCTCTGTTGAACAACGGTAAATGTCGATACTTCAGCACAGATGTTGCAAAGTTTTCTACCTGGAAAATCTGCTGCAAGGTCCACTAACTCTCTAAACTGTCTTTAAAGTGGCCCCAGGACAAACAATAGCCCAGATGGCCTGTTAACAGGGATGAACAGACCACTGTCAGAGCTAGAAAGATTCAGCGATGTACCTCTTAGATCCTCAAGGTCTTCTATCCTTTTATCCTGAGTCCATATTATCCTCTTTGGACTTTCTTGCCGAAGTGAAAAACACTAACCTGGCATGTGGGCAGACAAGGCTCTCATCACACGAACAGAAGACGGCAGCTCAGTCTGTTGCTCCATGTCGTAACATGAAGGAAACTTCTCTGTTTGGGAGCCAGCCCGACATCCCACCAGGGGATGGATGCTGGTAGACTCCACAGAAAGGCATGGGCTATGGCTGCTTTGACCACAGACCAGGCTGCTCTCCCCTACTGCAATGGCTGACTGGCTGGCCTTATACCACTCAAGTGCTTGTGTACGTATCGCTTGGCTGGTAAATACCTCCTTGTATCCTCCAAATTCACAAAAGATCAGTGTCACCAACAGTCTGAAACAGGTCCTGAATGAAAGGGTGAGACAAAGGCTTGCAACTTCAGTTCATCAGCCATCACTGCAGCTGTAATACTGAGCTAAGCAGTTTCTGTCCTGAGAAAGGGCAGAGAGCAATCATCAGTGTCCCATTTGAATCGGTCCATTTCCAGGAGCAGTGGAAAGAGTGGAGAGGAACGTGACTGATCAGCTCTACCACATTCCTGTGGTTAGGAAACTCGGATGATCTGTGTCATGGCTTCTTCATCAGCTTGGTTTGGATCCTACAAAGACAGCACAACAATCCTTTATACCAGTAACAGGAGTTCCTGACTCACAACTTAACCCCCAGGAAAGCCATACAACTTTTGAGTAAACGAAAGCTCCAAAGTGATCTCTATTTCTGCACACACAGTTTAAATACAATTCTCTCAGCCTAGAAGAGGCCAGCAGATCCATTCCCTAAAAGCACTAAGGCCTGGTCTGGCTCCCCACCAAGCACTGCATGGTTAATAGAGTGCCGCTTTCATAAGCATCCTGACCTGTGCTACCCTTAAGGGCATACCCAGATCAAACACCATGATATGATGTATTTTTGGGTCATTATTTTATATATGATGATCTCAAAATAATGGAATCCTAATAGTATTCTACTCCACAGGTGAAGAGACGGACTAAAAGACTGAGGAACTTACCAAGATCCTCCAGTCAGCATGGGGAATGAGAGCCTTTAACACAATGGCCTACGGCGGGCAGTTCCTAATCAGCCAGGCACAGACAGCAACAAGAACAGAGCGGCTGTCATGCTGTAGGGGAATACTGGCAGTGTCACCTGTGGCCAGGCAATCCAGGCTGCCGTGAGTAGACTACAAAAGCCTCACTATCTGATAGAGAACAACTGAAGAGACAGTAAGAACATGGAGAATCCATGCTGATGACAGTGAAGCGAGCCAACAAAAGAAATCCATTAACTCAACCAGTATTTACTGAGCATTTGTTCAGATCTGGATCTTAAGCTACGCCCAACACACACAAGAGAACAAAATCTCTACTTTGATGTGTAAATTAGAAAGCAGTGTGGATCATATAGAAAAATCTCTTGATTTTTATACATTAAAGGATAGGAGGAAATTATAGGAAAATACAAAGGAAAAGGAGCTCCATCTAGAGATAGGGGCAAGCTAAAGGTCTTTTAGATCTAGGCCAGGCTTAAAAAGAGGGAGACAAAAACTGTCCTTGGTGCACATATCTATAACACCAATACTAGGGAAACAGGGCAGGAAATTGCAAATTTGAGGCTAGCCTAGGCTATGCAACGAGAAGAAATACCCATGAGAAAAGATAGAGAAAAGAGTATTACAGACCGGAGACTGTGAAGACAAGGGACCGGGTAAGAGAACAGATAAATGGGTAAACATCAAGCAAAAAAGAGCAAACGAAGCTTGATGTGGGAGTGATTTCTTATTAATAAAGAAACTGCCTAGGACCATTTGATAGGCCAACCCTTAGGTAGGCGGAGAAAACAGAACGGAATGCTGGGAGAAAGAAGCTGAATCAGTAAGTCGGCATGATTCTCCTATCGGACATAGATGCAGGTTAAGATCTTCCCTGGTAAGACACCTCGTGGTGTTACAGGGATATTAGAAATGGGTTAGATCAATATTTAAGAGCTGGCCAATAAGAGGCTGGAACTAATGGGCCAGGCAGTGTTTAAAAGAATACAGTTTCCGTGTAATTATTTCGGGGCATAAGCTAGCCATGTGGGCGGCCGGGTGCCGGGGACGCAGCCCCGCTGCTCCTATTACTACAGAATCTAGAAGCAGACAGACAAGTTTACAGGCCACAGCCAGGACTTTGGGTATTTCAGCACAAATACAATAGAAGATGGCTGAAAAAAATCAGAGAGGAAAAAGATGTGCTAATCTTACAAAGATCACACTAGGAGGCAGTAAATGTGAAGAGGGGGGACAAGAGTGGAAGACAGTGGATACATTACTCCAAATCAAAGAAAGAGGACTAGGCCAGGCTGACACCAGTTAGCTGGGGACAAGCAAAAAGATTCAAATTATGTTTCAGAAATAAAACCAAAAGAACTTCAAAATCTGAACCATCCAAACTTTAATAATTGGGTGGTGACAAGCCACTTGTTGAGACGAGCCACTGGTTTGGGTAATAGATTAATGAACCAAGCACTCCATTTTGGACATATGGACTCAGAAACACCTAAGAGGTAATTAGTGGAATTTTATCCCCTAGGTTTTAATTCAGTTGATTGGTTTTTTGTGGAAGAAATAGGGTTGAACCTCACGCCTTATGCATGCCAGACAAATTCTCTCCATTCCTGAGCTAGCACCCTTAGTATGAGACGAAGTCTTACTAAATTAGCTGGTCTCAAGCTCACTGTATAGCCCAGGCAGGCCTCTACTGGTTATTCACCTGCTGCAGCTTACAGAGTAACTGGGCTGACAGGCCTGCACCATCAGGGCAGGCTCAGCCATCTAAGCACTGACCTTATACAAGTTATGTATTTCTCCAAAACCCATATTCAGCTGTATAAAATGGTGACAAAATGTCATTCCTATCCCACGGTCCTGAGGTTGCCACAGTCAGAACACCACCACCACCACCAAGTTTACCAGAGTGCTTGGCACTCTACCCAACACTCACCTACTGCAAATATAGCATGCTAAACGAAAGTAAAACGTTTCCTTGAAATAGAAAGAATGGAGACGTTGATAGTAAAAATTTAGAAAAACAAGGAAAAGGCCATGGGGTCAAAACTTTCAGTGCTTTTAAAAAGGAGGAAACTAAGCAACAACACCATACACTGTGGGGCGGGGTGTGTGTGTGTGTGAGAGAGAGAGTTTCCTTAAATGTAGGAGTTTATCGCTGCTAAAAAGAAGGCAGGTAGCAGAGAAAGAAAGGTTCTCCTTACCTGCATATGAGGACTGTCCTTTTCTTTCGGAGAGAAGAACCGTCCCCCTTCACCACGCTTCCGTGCCATGGCATGTCGATGCCGAGACTCATGGAGGTATTTCTGAAGAAAGAAAATAAGATTGTTAACAGTGAGAGCTAGCAGTTACCAAGTGCATGGATCAATTGTTACAAGTTTCAGACAGAGGCAAAGTCAAAGGAACAATGAAGGCTGAACGATGGAGAAAGCTCTGGAGAACAGTATGGTAGCTGCTGGCCATATAACCTCCGTAAGAACATGAATGTTAAAAGAACTGGAGGGAAATGATTGTTATCGTCCTCCTACCATTGACCCTTCCTCTGCTTCAGCAACAGACCGAGGTTTGCTCGAGTAAATGGCAGGTCAGAAGGAGACACCATTTCTGTGCTATCTGTAGGTATGTTAGACTGGGTTATCAGATGCTGGCTAATGTGACAGATGGGTTCCTTTGCCTTAACAGCCATTACAGACTGCACCCATGCGAGCACTGCAGCTGTAGATAGGAGAAAGTCCCGAGGACAAGTTACCTCTAGATTGCTTTTCAGGAGAAAGGGGGAAAGCACCTTGCTTATACGCCACTGTGTGTCACTGTTCTCAGAAAATCTGTCTGCATTCTGTTGTTTGGAAGGGACAGGAAAACACACCATATTCTAGTCAATGTTACAGGCAGAACAATTGTGCTGTTTTCTGCCTGCCTGGCACTTCCCATGACATACACACCCTTCTTTCCTTTGGAATTTTCCCTTCTGCCTCTAGCTTAGCCCGTGCTTGTCTCCTCTTAAGGATGCGGTGATACTGTTTGGCATTCACATACAGGGGTTCTTCCTCCAGCATCTCTGCTCCAGGTAAAGGGATTCTTTGGATAGCAGGCACAGAGCCTGCTCCTGGCACCATCTGCATGAACAAGAGACCAAACCTTATTAGTAGCATAAAAATTCTAAATAAAATTGCACATTTACACCTATCTTCTGCTGTATCTCCAGTGTCTAGAACAACCTGAGACACTGGTAGGCATTAAACATCTTGTGAGTGAGGCCCACTGTTAGTGCCTGAAGGATAGAGTTCAACTACAAGAAGTTAAAACCATAAGCAACTTCACAAGAAACAACAACTTACAATTCAGAGACAGAACCTATGGAAAGTTTCAGTGTCAGAGAACAGAAATGGGGAACCACTTTCCTTACCATGACCATTCCTCCTGAGTTGACCACATTGCCCGCCACTGGCAGTGTCACAGTGACAGTCCCTTGTCCACTGCTGGTTGTGTTGGTATTGGCTCCTGTCTGAACAATCTGTGCTCCTGCCAAACTGGCTGCTGGGATGGTTATCATGCCTGAAACAGGGACTGTAACTTTAAGAAAACAAAACAAAAAAACAAACCAAACAAAACAAAAAACCAAACCAAACCAAACAAAAAAAAAAACAGGCACACGGGAACAGAAAGAAGGGAAGACAGTTAGTCCCTTCCACCTGTCTCTCGTATACTCTCCTGGAAAAATGCACTAACAAACACCAGGGAGAAAACAAACAGCCTCTCCTACCCCTTTACTCCATTTTGCTAATGTGGTCTGTGTGAGTTCATTTTTGGAAGTCTCTGTTAATGGCCTAGGACCCAGTTCTATATAAATTATACTTCAACCCCCCATACTGTACATCCCAACAAGGGTATCAAAAAGGCACGAAGATGTGGAGGCCTCCCTACTGCAGCACCATTCCCACTACCAACACAGCTGCCACTGCTGCTTTTCTATGTTCTTCCACACGGGAAGAGGCCTCGCCAGGGTTCAGTCCAGCCTGGCTCCCTCCTATATGAATAACACACAGCTAGTGCACCCTCTGCATCTAGTACACTGCAAAGTCTTGGTCTCAACCAAACCATTGTGGAATCTGACTGAGATGATTTCTCTGGACTTAAAGTATTGCAGTCTACTGTGAGCATGTCTCTGCCCAAGCCAAGTCTAGACTTCTTATGTGTATGCATCTCTTCCTAGGGCACACTTCTGTGTTTACATCGCCTTAGCTAGGGGAGAGGTCCTCTTAAACAACTATATGATCAGATTAGAGGCCTAGAACTAAACTGTAGGAATGCTGATCTATAAGCAGCAATGGGTTGGTCATATATGGTGACAAGAACTGACAATCACCGGAGGTCTGGTGGGAACCCTGCTGTTTAAATGTGGTGTGGACTTCACAACAACACTGAAGCACTCACAGGTCTCTAAGGCTCAAATGAATGCCCTGCAAAGTTCCAGGGCAATAACGGCAGCTTACCTTGCTGGAGAATTGTGCCATCTGCATTAACTGGCTGGTAGACAATAGTCTGCCCTTCAGCAGTCTGGGCCACTTGCTGTCCCTGGACAGCAATTTGCTGTTGTGTCTGTAGAAAACAATGATATACTCAACAGATGCCAAAGACTCAAGAGAACCCAAGCATGTTTTTGATAGCTTTCTTCTGCATTCATGTTTTTTTTTTCAAGACAGGGTTTCTCTGTGACCTTGAAGCCTGTCCTGAAACTAGTTCTTGTAGACCAGGCTGGCCTCAAACTCACTGAGATCCACCTGCCTCTCGAGTGCTGGGATTAAAGGCATGTACCACCACCACCTAGCCCCTGCATTCACATTTGATGTGAACTAGGTAGCTTACTGCTCAACTCACCTGAGTCTGGCCCGCAGTGACTGCAGTCTGTGGCTGCTGAATGATGATCTGTTGGGTCTGACCCTGCTGTCCTTGTACCTGCACAGCCTGCCCACCCTGAATCTGGATCTGACCAGGAGGGACCAACTGTATCTGTGGAATACAATACACAAAAGATTGGCATCAACATGACTCCTTTGGTTCCTTATTTTTGCTTTTATTTTTTTATTTTTATTTTATGTATATGGATGTTTGGTCTGCATGCATATATTCACCATGTGCATGCCTAGTGCCACTGAGGCCAGAAGAGGGAGTCAGATACTCTGGAAATGGAATTACAGATAGTTATGAGCCACTATGTGGGTACTAAAAATCGAATCTGAGTCCTCTGGAAGAACACCTAGTATTCATTACTGCTGAGCCATCTCTCCAGACTCACATGTTAGGTTTCTGCAAACTAGCTGAATAAATTCCTGTAGAGACCAGGAAGTATGCGGAGGCACACGCCTGTAATTCTACAACTTGGGAGGCAGAGGCGAAATGATCAGAAATACAAGGCCAGCCTCAGGATCACAGTGAGTTTGAGGCTAGTGTTCGGGCTACACAAGACCCTCTTTCCCAAAATTACAACAGAGTAATAAATACTTTGAAGGACAGGAGTCTTGTTCTAATATCAGCTATCAATTATTGAAAAGTTTATTTCTATTTTTCTGATCATTAAATAATACTGAGTATTGTTTGGGATATCAATAATTACAGAATTGGTATTCATTAACAAAAGAAATGTTGGCATGGTTATTTTTTTTAAAGTACATTTGCTTAAAAATACTTCAGTGCTCTACAAATGAATAAAAGAACTTTCAAAAATATATTCTTTCCAAGGCAAGTGTTAAGCTAATGGCAGTCAAGGTCAACACTTTGATCAGGTTCTTGAGAGAGACAGAGATAGGCTGTCAAGATTCTTGATCCACAGAAACTGAAATGTACAATCATTAATTTGATTGGATAAAGAATCACTATGGAAACAAGCACTACACATGCCCTTTAAGGGATTTCTAGATTAGATTAATTGAGGTGGGAAAACCTATCCTAACTGCAAGTGGCATTCCATGAGTTGGAGTCCTGAACTGAGTGAAAACAGGAGAAAGTCAGCTGACCAACTGCATCCATTACTCTGCCTGCAGCCAGAAGAAAGGTGACAAAATGTTTCTTATTGTAATCAATGTGTTACACGGCAGTAGACAGATAAGGTGATGTGACATATTATATTCCTATTCAGTTCCAAACCCCTCACCGTCACTTAGCACTGCCATTAGTATTCATCTACCTCTTCCCACTTTCTTTGCTTACAGGTTTTGGAGTGCCAGACCTCACAGAGCGAATATGGAAAGCACAAGATCATATGTGGTACCTGAACCTAGCTCCCCTTCTTAACTGCTATAGTCACTTACCAAGAGTATTATCAGAAACTTGACAAGTTTTAAAAGTTTTTCTTTGAAATCTTATAAACTGACAAAAAGGGAAAAAGCCTTAACAGTTTGCTCAATGTACAGAACCCTATTTTCCTTGACTACTGGATACAAAACCTCTAAAGATTCAATGAGAAAGCATTTAGGAATGCCCTACAGCTCAAAATTTCCAAATACTTTATACTCAAGAATACCCCCAACCCAAAAGTCAGGGTGCCCAGATACTAAACCAAGTTATCACCCTGGCCCACCTGCAGATCCCCATCTCCCTTCCCACCAGCTTTGTTACCATTCTGTCACTGTTCCTTGGCCCTCTTGAGCTTTGCTTCACAGATCTAGCAGCTGGGAAGTTACTTTCAGCTAGGTGGGTTTCAGTTTCTACCCACTGAGTCTGTAAAGGACATGCCTACAGCCTCAAGTTTCCGCAACTCTCCAGGTGACTAACTGCTGGTAGAAGGGAAGAAGAAGGGAACACGGTCCCCGTCTTAGAGACATTCTTGGATCTTTCTGTTAGGCTATATACTGCCCAAGTTTTCTTAAGGATTCTCAAATACTACAAAACTCAGTTAAAAATGTTGGAAGCTGGCTAAACTAATGTGAAGACACGTGACACTGACCCCTGGCCCCCATTCGTAATGTAAACCTGTACACACACAGATACATACACCACCCATAGTCATACCAGACTTCACTGATGTACAGTCTAGGTACTTTAAAAAGACCCTCACCTGCTGTAAACCTTGTGTTCCAGACACAGGTACCTGCATGATAGTTTGGCCTTGTCCACCCGGCACAGCCTGGACCATGATGGGTTGGCCAGTTGATGTAATTAGCTGGCCTCCACTGACTTGTACCATTAATGGCTGCCCCTGAACCTAGAATGGAATATAACACCAACAATGAAACAGTGCAAGACACAATTGGCTTTACCAAGACAATCACTATCACTGGAACTGTCCTGTTTGGCAAGACAGACTTAGTAAAGTCATTCCTTTTTTTCCTCCCAAGGCAGGGTCTTTCTATGTATGCTAGCTGGCCCTGAACTCAGATCCTCCTGCCTCTGACTCCCAAGTACAGAGATTAAGCCTGGTCCTGAAAGTCAGCCTTTTTACCCCACCCCCACCCCCCCGCCCAGCCACCATGTCTGTTTGAATGTGAGTGTGAGTATAGATTATATGCATATGCTGCAGAGGATGGGATGTGAGATCCCTGGGGCTGGAGTTCCAGGTGATTAGGAGCTGCCACGTGGGTGCTAGAACAAACTTCAGACCCTCTGAAGTAGCAGTACGCGCTTTTAATCACTGTATCTCTGCAGATACCTGATTTTCTGATTAAGTGCCAAGTTGGATATTTAATGGAACCTATCTAGAGTCTGGAAAATCTCAATAAATCAGGTATTAATCACCAAAACCAGGCTGAATTTAAAACCAGGACTAGTTTGCTTTCTCAAACGGATACCCAGGAATGGTTTCTGGTAAAGGCTAGGAAAGCAGCAAGGAGAGAGGTAATGATGGTGAGAACTGAGAAGTGAATCAAAGTACAGCCTCTAGAGACTGAATAGGAAGAGTTCTGAAAGCTCACTTGAAGGTTCCTCCTGGGCCTCACGCAAAGGGAAACCTGAACACTCACTCACCTTCACTTGACTCCAAGGAGCCCAAGAATGGCTGCTACTTAAGGAGTCTACTACTAAAGACTCATGGACTGGGCGGGCTAGTAATTCCAGCACTTAGGAAGCTGAGCCAAAAGCATGGGTTTGAGAACAGATGGGCTGCACAGTAAGCTCTAGGTAAGCCTGATAAGACCCTGCCTCAAAATCAAGCCAAGCAAGACTCTCCAGAAATAGGTTCCAGTCAGTCTGTGATCATCATAGTAGAGTTCTGCATTCTGCATCTTAAATATCTGCATATTTATTTTAATTATCAGAAGCAATGAGAGACTGAAATCAGATAGCTATGGTGTGTAATGGTTTCCACTCTTCAAGTCTTCTGCTTCAACAGACCACTCCAGAAAGAAGTCACTGCACGTGCTGTCACCTCTTGAACCCCAATGTGAAAACTCAGAGAGAAAGGTCCAGACAGAAGTTGCTTTGGAAGTGGGGATGAGTAACAGGACAAACTCAAAAACTCTTACTGCAGACTGTCTTTGCTTGAAGGAACTATTGTAACCCAACAGACTAAAATACTCGTTCTTAGTTCCAGTAGCAGTCCATTCCAACAGTATCAGTGCAGTTGATTAATCTGCCCTAGATAAAATGGTTAGGCTCTCCCACTACCAATCTCCATCAGAACCATCAGGAGTAGTTCAACCTCAGGGCTATCCTCTGAGAAACTGGTGATTTTTAAAGACTTTATGGCTTATCTGCTCACATTCTCTTCTCTTAATTCCCCATTTAAAACACCCCTTTGCTACACCAATGCTGTCAGGTGCTGTGTTATGAAATGTATCAGAAGCCTTACTAGAGGAGTAAGAGAGAGAACTATTTAAAATTCTTCTAAAATGATGAGACTTATAGAGGAAAATTCCCATCACTTCCATTGCAATGCAATCTAGAGCTTCTTAGGCGACATGGCTGTGCTGCTACTGTGGGCTGTTCCCCTGTGTGAAAGTGGATGCCACAAGCTGACAATGGTTATCATCTCTTACTGCGTGTCACTCTGTTGCTTTGAGACAGTCTCCCCTGATTTAGCCAGCTAGCCCCAGGTTCTGCCTGTTTCTGCCACCCAGTTCTGGGGTTACAGGGGCAAACTCACATATTTATGTGAATTCTATGGATCCAAACTTATGTCTCTACACTTGCATAGCCAACAATCTCCAAAGGTGACATAAATTTAAGACACTTAATAAATTTCTGGTTATCTATCACCCTCTCCACTAACATGCTATATATGCATGCGATAAAGGATTTGAGACTCTGAAGAGCTCACTGTGTCTACAACAGATAATCACAAGGACTCATGCATGAGACAGAAGCCACACAGTTAAAAGCATGTCACATTCCCATTCTATGGTAGTTAACGACAATCCCAGACACCGTTTCATGTATTACAAGGATGAAGCAAGCAGGAACAGAAAGCTGCTACACCCACTGAGATTCATCTGTTCAGGAAGACAGACAAAATCAACTTCTTAATTTATGTGTAGAACTGGCCACGTGACATCACCAAACACTACTAAGTGGCAGGATTGAAAGGGTCAAGTCCTTACAGCAGTGGTTCTCAACTTGTGGGGTCACGACCCCCATGGGGTCAAATGACTCTTTCACAGGGGTCACGTAAGACTATCAGAAAACACAGATATTTACATTATGATTCATAGTAGTAATAAAGTTACAGTTATGAAGTAGCAACAAAATAATTTTATGGTTGGGGTCACCACAGCTTGAGGAGCTATAGTAAAGGTCACAGCATCAGAAGTTGAGAATCACTGGTTTACAGGAAGGAACGGTCACCTCCAAAAGGATCTCAGCAGCACTTGCTATAAAGTGAGATGCTAGTTTGGCTTTGGAAGTCCCACTAAGTCATTCCAATTCCGGGAAGGAAGACAGGGAGAGCAGGCATCTGAATCTTGCCAACTTCTCAAAACCTTTAGCTCTCAATGGACCCAGAAGCAACCAATGCTGCTACTCTCAAAAGAATTTGGGCTATTTAAATTGACCATACATGGTGCTGAAGAACAGCATCAGCATCGGTTAACTCCAGTTTGTTTTTGTTTTTTAGCTTATCAATGTAACCTGTGCTTTGTTTTTTTAAAAGAGCCCAACCTGGTCCCAAACTCTCACTCTTTCTGCCTCCATATCCCAAGCACTGGGACAGGAGGCATTACCACCATGACCTATGCTAGCACTTAAAAATGCCCATCAAAAAGATAAGCAATCATCTCTGCAGAGCTCCTAATGATACAGGAAAGGTTATTCAGTTCTCAGAAAAACTTTGCTCAGTGCAATGAATATTTAACAGTCAAGCTGCACTTTTAACAAAAACAAAACATAATAGTGCAGTCAAGTCTGTCCATGTGTGCACCCACTTCTCCAGTGCAGTACAATCCATGAAACTTGAATAGGCGTCTGAGTACTGAGTAAGCTCTAAAGCCACCTGTATAAGGTCTTCCTGTTGCTTGCTTCCTGGTACTTCTAAAGCAACACACTTAGCACATACTTCTCAGAAAACAGACACAGCAGTCACCAGATGTCTTGGCATGGGAAACTGGCATGCTGGCCTGAGAGACAGGTTAGCAGCACAAAAGGCATGCGACTTTGCCATTCAACTTGAGATCCAAACATAAACAGCAGCAGACAGGCGATGTTCATGCAGTGCTCACAGAGAATCAGAGAGGGCACCACTACCTGGAGGGTCTGGACTTGCTGGCCTGAGGCGGATGCCACTTGGGCCTCAGTCTGCAACTGGACAGCAGTGACACCACCCTGCTGCTGAGAACAGGAACAGGAAGATCTTGAAATGTATCAGAATGGGAACGTACAGCTCAAGACTTGAGATCACTTGAGGGAGGGGGGAGAGGGGCGTGTCTCTGAAAAACTTCACCCCACATAGGAGCTTTCAGAGTTCTGGACTCTTCAAGCTGTCCCCAGAGTGGGCCTTACAACACACTTCTGTGACTTACAATACAAAATTATAATGCAGTCCTTCCCAGAAATAAGAATTCTACCACATTGCTAAACATTTATGTTAAATATTTCTATATTTTCTTAGGGTCACAAGAACAAAACCAGCAGGTCTTAAAGGTTTGAAACTACAACAAAGAATTTCAGGTGCTATTAAAGTTATTAAAACATCACCAAGGAAGAACTAGTCATGGTGATCCAAATTCTAGTCTTGGTAAGCTACTCTTCTACATCCCCAAACGAAGACTTATTCCCACTCAACTGACTGACCACTTCATAGGCAATGTTTTCAGAAAGCCACCCAACTTCCTTTTTATCCTGGGGAATGCCTCCCAGGAAGAAAGCCACCAAAAACCACTCTGCCCCTGAGGAAGGCCTCACCAAGACCCATTTCCTAAGGAGGCTGCAGGAAGCTGCCAGTGCCTCAGCAGACTGAGGACAAGGAGGAGGCTAGCAAGGCTGGAGAGCTACCAGGCTCAGCTAATCCTCGCAATGTGGAGGAGCCCTCCCCCCCGCAACCAGTGGGTTGGAACTCACCACCAATACTTCCTCTATTCTGTCTTAGTGAACCTCTATTCTGAGGAAAAAACACACCCAGGACAACAGTATTTGGCCTGTGATCAAATAAAAACAATATCTTTTTTTCCCAAAGCACAGGAATGGGGAGAAAAAGAGAAGGTCCGCTATTATAAACCCAGATAAAAGCACGGCAAATGCTTTATGTGCACTAATTCAAACATCTGGTAGACTGTACTGTGGGAAAAGGCAGCAGCAGGAGCTCCTTTTCAATATGTACTCATCCGGAGTATCACCCCAAATATTATTCTAATATTGAACTACAGCTGTCCAAAATAAACTCTGGTAGAACAGGCCAGCAGACTGCCTGAAACCTGACTACTGGTGTGTCTATTTTGACACACCTTTGCTTTATCACAAGTCAGCATAAACAAGGGGAACAGTAGACTGAACCCAGGGTAAAGCAGAGGTGTCCTGACTTTCCTTCAGTAAGTTACAAAGGGCCAATCTACTTTTAAAGTGATCTTCACAAAGAAGAGATGCCAAGGGGCAACAGACTGGTTCCCAGTACAGCACAAGTCATGAGATCTAGACTTACAGGGTCTGATAGGACCCACAGAGTAACCAGAGAAAACCCGCCGCTGCACCACCAGCTGCAGTACTGTAATGGTCAAAGCACATTCGCTCCCATACCTGCTGCTGAATCTGGCCAGCCTGCACCACGATCTGCTCTGTGGAACTATTGCTGTTTGTTGTATACTGCTCCATGGCCAGGCCACGTTAAGAGTCCTGTAGCTTCACTCTACAAATTCCAGGCAGCTGCAGGTAAGGACTCCTACTACAAGGGGAAGGAGAAAACCTAAATGAGTCAATTAGTAAAGGCTCTCTTATGACACAATAATTTATTTTCTAACTATATGCCACATTAATATGAAAGTCAACAAAAGATATTTATTCAATTAAAAAAAGGGGACTATATAGCACAGTCATAAAACATTAGTTAGGCTGGCAGTAAACAGCTGCCATCCCAGCACTGAAGAGGCTGAGGCAGAAGGCTGAGAGTTTGAGCTAGCCTGGGCTATAAAAAATTTCCTCAAAAAGACTAACCAACCAAACAAACATAACACATGGTATTGTATTTTCACATTTAAAAAATGCTTCTACTCATTTTTTTCCTGGCAACTTACCTTGTATATTAGCTATCTCTGTGATGCTGTGACCGAAAATTAGTTTTTTAGGCCCAGTTTTAGTGGATTTTAGTCCACTGTGGGTATGTGTGAGGTTGAGAAGCATATTTCACACCATGATGGACAGGACACAGAAATGAATACTCTTAAAAGGCCAGGGTAAGATATAGTTCCCAAGAACACATACTCCCCTCAGTAACCCACTTCTTCCAACTAGGCCCCATCTACCAATAATGGCATCATATAAATGTACCAAGAGCCCTTAGGATGCAATCCCCTATAAGCAACACGCCCAGACACACCCAGGTGTGCCTTACTAATTTGTTGTTTCTCAATCCAGTTAAGCAAGTAAAAGTGATCACCTTTCATTACCAGAGTAATGCTGTCTGAGGTTTTCTGTCCTGCCTGGATCCTGCAATCGTTAAGTCCCAAAGAAATCACATAGAGGTCTACATTAGTTATAGACTGATTGGCCCTTTAGCTCAGGCTTCTGATTACCTCTTATAACTTATATTAGCCCAATATTCTTGTCTATGCTAGCCATGTAGCTCAGTACCTTTTTCAGCATGGCAGTCACATCTTGCTTCTTCTGTGGCTGAGTAAGGAAACTGCAGAAAGAACTTTCCTCTACCTAGAATTCTCGTTGCCCCACCTCTACTTCCTGTCTGGTCACCCCACCTCTACTTCCTGCCTGGCTACTGGCCAATCAGCGATAATTTAGAATATAATTGCCAGGACACAGACCATTGTCCCACAGCAGAGTAACACTCAGAAGCACTGTTAAGCCATCTTTTGTCGCAAGGCCTGATCTCAAGGCAGCAGATCAACCTTAGAGAATTTGTATCATATACTTGCATCCAAATATGCTACTCTCCCGAGCTACATATGCCACAAACGACCTTAAGCTGGAGGTTTGTTACTTACTGAGAAAGTAGTTCAAATATTTTGCTTACCAAAATCTCCACTGAGGTAAGACTACTGATGTCTTACATAGTATATTCCAGGACAACCTAGCTAGAGTGAGACTTTGGCTACAAACAAACACATAAACATATACAGAATCATGACTACTAAAAACATAATTTCAAAACTTCCTAGGCACCATGATGCCTTTAACCCAGCAGATAGGTCTTTCAAGGACAGGTGTCCTCTTTTCAGAGTTCCAGCCAGGATACACAGTGAGACCCTGTTTCAAACTCCATCAAGTAGCACTAAGTAGGAAAGCTCTAGCAAAGCTTTGAGAGTTATGCTGCAGTCCATAATTAACACAAAGAAATGGTACCCACTGCCGGGCGGTGGTGGCGCACGCCTTTAATCCCAGCACTCGGGAGGCAGAGGCAGGCGGATCTCTGTGAGTTCGAGGCCAGCCTGGTCTACAAGAGCTAGTTCCAGGACAGGAACCAAAAAGCTACGGAGAAACCTGTCTCGAAAAATCAAAAAAAGAAAAAAAGAAATGGTACCCACCACAGCAGTAACATTTAAAACTTGGTATAGCAGAGTCTGTTTACATGGAGTGTTCCATGGCCTGTATCGGTGTCTAAAACTTCTTTAGCACCAAATCCTATATATACTATTCTTTGTATACTCATTCTGCAGCATAGCCTAAATGGTTAGCCCAAACGACCTTTTCCTGGCTCATTACTTCAGGAGTTTCTTAGAAACGGAACAGTACCTAACAATATTCAGTGTGCCCAAATGCTGACATTTAGCACCGCTTCTACCCCTCTTGTGCCCTTCCCAGTTATATGATCTCTACCCACACAAACATTCTCTTATCCATATTCACAAGCAAAGGTAGGACTGCCTACCGTCTAGGACGGAGAACGTATGGGTTTTCTTGAGTTAGACTTCTCTTGTGTAATGAACATGCATTAGTCAGGTTTCTCTGGAGAACAGAGTGGAATGAATCCACACATATATGGTAGGAGGTTTATTAGAGTGGCTTACAGGTTGTGGTCCATTAGTCCAACAATGGCTGTCTACCAACAAGAAGCCCAAGAATCTAGTAGTTACTCAGTCCATGAGGATGGACGTCTCTGCTGGTCTTCAGTATAGGTTAGGAATTTTGGAGAAGTACACTCCATGCCAGCGAAGGTGCAAGAGCAAGCAGGCAAAGAACAGGCTAAAGCTCCCTTCTTCCATGTCCTTTATATAGGCTACCACCAGCAGAAGGTGTGGCCTAGATTGAAGTTGACTCTCCCTTCCTCAAAAGATCTGGATTTCAAATGATTCAGGCAAGAAAAATTCCTAACAGGTGTACCCACTCACTTGGGTTTTAGTTAACTCTAGACACAGTCAAGTTGATAAACAAGAATATCATCACAAAACACTTTCCAGATTTATCTGCTTTTCTTGCAGATTTCATTTCTTTATGGCTGTATAAAATTCTATGCTGCATATGCATGGCATTTTCATTATCCATTCTGTTGGTGGCCCATCTAGGTTGGTTTCATTTCCTTGTTATTGTACACAGAACAGCAGTAAATATAAATGTGCAAGTATCTCTGAGATGACATAGAATCCTTTGGTCCATGCCTAGAAGTGGTATAGCTGGGACACATGCTAGATCTTTTTAATCCTGAGATACCTCCATGACGGGGGAGTGTCATATATCAATCTGTTGATTTCATTGGTTAAGCAATAAAGAAACTGCCAGGCCCATTTGATAGGCCCACCCTTAGGTGGGTGGAGTAAACAGAACAGAATGCTGGGAGAAAGAAGCTGAGTCATAGAGTCGCCATGATTCTCCCACTCCAGGCAGATGCAGGTTAAGATCATTCCTGGTAAGCCAGCTTGTGGGCTACATAGATTATAAGAAATGGGCTAGTCCAGGTGCGAGAGTTAGCCGAGAAAAGGCTAGATATAATGGGCCAAGTGGTATTTAAAAGAATACAGTTTCCGTGTAATTATTTCGGGTAAAGCTAGCCATGGGGGCAGCCGGGTGCTGGGGACGCAGCTCCGCCGCTCCTATTAGTACACCTCCACACTCATTTCCATAAACAGCAGTGTCAATAAATAAGGTTCTTCTTCCCTATATCCTCAAGGGCATTTGTGGGTCTTTATTTTCTGGATGTGAGCCATTCTGACTCAGGTGAGAAAGAGGAATGGGGTAAGTTTTAATTTACATTACCCTGGTGGCTAAGTGTTTTCCTCTAGTGGTAACAACTCAAAAAAGAATAAGCCGAGTGGCTGGTGGCACATGCCTTTAATACCAGCACTCGGGAGGCAGAGGCAGGCGGATTTCTGTGAGTACAAAGCCAGCCTGGCTTGCATAGTGAGTTCCAGGCTGTTATAGAGAAACCCTATCTTGAAAAAGAAACTAACAAAATAGGTGGAAATATGACTTAGCATTTAATACGGCAGATGCTAATAATGATAGAATGTAAGTAATAGGTACACCAGTATTGATCATAATACTCTTTCAACTTTACTGTCTAGAAATTTCAACACTAGAATATGGGGGAAAATACTCAACATATAATCAGGCATACACCTTTAATCCCAGTGCTCAAGAAACTGAAGCAGGCAGAGCTCGTGAGTTCGAGGACAGCCTGGTTTACAGAGCCGAGTTCCAGGACAGCCAGACTGTTACACAGAGAAACTCTTGTCTTGAAAAACCAAGGAATAACCAAAATAGAGCACTTACGCCTTTAGTGTGGGTTACAGTGGACTTACAATGGGAATATAAATAGCAACTTAACTAAATTTAATCCCTACTTTATTAGCATGTGTTCACTGTATAAAACAATGGTTTTTAACACTGACCCCATGTTTCTCTTTACAAATAATCCCCTTCTTTTTATCTGACTTTATCTAGAGTATGCATACGAGAGAGAACATATTTGGTATTTGTGGTTCTGAATATGCCTTCTTTCCCTTACTGTGATGTTCCAGTTCCAGTCATTTCCTTTAAAACATAATTCTGTTCTTAATGTATAATATTCTATTGAGTATACAAACACTTTTCTTTATCCAATTACTCATTGATTGGTACCTACACGGATTCCTTAACTTGGTGGTTGTGAAGGAAGGCACAGCAATAAAGTACAGTGCCTTTAGTATCTGTCGATTCTGCTTTCTTCAGGTGTACCCCCTAGAGTGGTATAGCAGGATCATGTAGTTCTACTCTTAGTTTTTCGAGAACTTACACACTGTGATAGCTATTCTTGGCATCAACTTGATTACATCTGGCATTAACTAAAATCAAAGCAACTGGGTACATCTGTGAGATTTCTAAATTAAATCATTTGAAGTGGGAAGAACCACCTTTAATCTGGGCCACACCTTCTAGTGGTAGCCTATATGAATGACATGGATGAAGAAAGCTTTGTTCTTTGCTTGGCCTTGCTAGCAAGCCCATTCCTTCACTGGCGTTACAGCCTACTTCTCGGAGATTCTGGCATATATGAAGGCCCTCTGAAATGCAGCTTTGAGGACTCAATAACTCCACTGAGAGGCAGTCATTGTTGGACTAGCTGGACTACCTGTAAGCCCACCTTCTCACATACTCTCTCACATACACACAGACACATCTCTCAGTGGCTGAATTAGTTTATACTGCCATCTATGATATTTAAGAGCTGCTCCCATCCTCAACATTCTCTTCTTTCTTTCTTTCTTTTTTTTTTTTTTGAGACAGGGTTTCCAGGGTGTCCCGGAACTCACTCTATAGACCAGGCTGGCTTCCGCTGGCCTCTGGCCTCTGCCTCCCGAGTGCTGGGATTAAAGATGCATGGTAGCATCCTCTATTTTCGTTGACAGCTACTCTGATTGGAGTAAAAAGATTTTTTTTTTTCTTCCTTTCTCGAGACAGGGTTTCTCTGTAGCTTTGGAGCCTGTCCTGGAATTAGCTTTTGTAGACCAGGTTGGCCTCGAACTCACAGAGAACCACCTGCCTCTGTCTCCTGAGTGCTGGGATTAAAGGTGTGTACCACCACTGCCCGGCTAAGAAATTACAGTATAGTTTTGATCTGCATTTTCCTGGCAGCTCAGTATGGTTTTTGTTTTTTGGTTTTTTTTTTAATGAATATATCTACAGGCCATTTGTAATCTTTGGAGAACTATATCTTAGATTATTTGGTTTTTAATTTCTGAGTTCTTTCTATATTCAGGATATTAATCTCATCAGATGAAAAGATGTTTACATTTGCAGATTTTTACACCAGGCTTTTCTGAGCCAGTTGAATGAGTTGTTTCTTTAGAGGCCTCAGGCACACTAGGAAATCAGCCAAAATAAGTGGCTCTACTAGGGAAAGCGACAGTTCCCCTTTTGGTATGTGTGTATGCACTTGTGTAGAGCTTTTAAAACTCACCAAAAATATAGACATATACGGTGCTTACACTTTGATGTGGAAAATAGAGATATTTACATTCTCTGTATTTCAATATATCCACTAGCCCTAAGTCCCCTTCCCATAAGGCTTTCTTCTTGGCTAAGTATCCATAAATCTTCATCTTATCAGATTAAAATGCAAAATGGAGCTTTGATGGGCAAGAATGGTTAACAAGTATCACTCAGACCTCACTAGTTTATCCCACTGATACAAATGCTTCCCTCTCAAGCCATTGAAGCCTACTGTACTTTGAAGGGCAAAAGCAGATGAGGCTCCAAATATAGTAGCCATTCTGCATTAATAAGGGAGCAATGGAGCTTGGAGCATGACATTCAGGCTGCTCACGGTGTCTGCTTTCTGGCCCCAGTAGAGCTTCAGGCACCTGCTTTTGCCACTTCAGCCAGCAGAACTGTTCTGCAATCTGACACACCACCTTTGTCAAGCACTTCTTTGCCCAAGATTATGACAAAAGTGAGCCAGCTGGATTTAGTCTGTCTAGCTCTTCCACAAAATTTTGAATGTGTTTTTGAAAGTGAGAATATAAATGAATATGGATGAGAATGAATTTATTCTGGTCTCTGAAGCATTCTTATACCCTGCCCATTTAGAATGGCACAGAAGCAGTTGGCCAGCACTTAGAAAGGTAATCTATCTGAAGTTATTCGAAAGCTGAAGCATTCAGAAATGCAACTACAATAAGCATAACATCAACACAGGCCGTGAGACTTGACAATCACAGGCAAAGACCAGACTAAGGCCTTTGAAGGCTCCAAATATGCTCCTTTTCTCCACTAACAATATACCATGAACTTAGATAATAAAACAAGATTCTAACTTTGAGTCTTGACTTCCCTTCATGGACTGGGAAATGAAATAAGCCTCCCCAGGCTGCTTTTGGTGTGGTGCTTATCACAGTAATAGAAAAGCTGACTAGAACATAAAGAAATGAAGAAACAACTTAAACAAAGAAAAACTTCCTCGAAAGTGAATACAGGCCGTTTCGCTTCAGAAGGGACTCAAATCCACCAGTTAAGAGCTCAGCAAAGGTGCTAAAGAAGTCACACCCTGAAGGCTGGCTCCACCTAAGCTGAGAACAACTGATGTTTGGCCTGAGTAAGAACAACGTCCCTCTCCCAGAGAAAAATTTCCTTTTCTTTCCCATCCGCTCCCCAGCCCCAATTATGAGATTAAAGCCTTAGGTCGGCAACGTTTTCTCCCCAACGTTAGGGAGAAAAGCCCCTCTCCAACACTTCTAAGCTCCAGTCAGAAGTGTTTCCAAAGGCTCCTTTGTGATATCTGCAAGAGCTTTACAATCTGGACTTTCCCGCCTAAATTCTCAGTGCTACTGGCCCTTTCTTCACCCAACAGCACTATCTGCTGCCTACATACGCTCTCCTCGCGGAGGACAACCCTCCACCGCCCAAACAACGCGTGCGGATGAAAACTGGCTGGCTTCTTCGTGCAAACAGCATTTCCCGGTATTGCACTAGACCCCAACAGAACACTAACCCCTAAGTATTGATTTTCACCAGCCAATCTCCACCGAGCAGGCGTGCTTCCTACCTCTCCCCCTCTCCCTTACAGTACTTGGGTGATGCCCGCCAGAGACTACAGGCTGGCAGCACACCGAAGACTGCTGCCCGATGGAAAAATAATTGGCATGGAAGTTTTTAAACATCTGTTGAGAAAACGTTCACATGGGATTCGAAAGTGTGGTAGAAAAAACAGACACAAATGGGCTGAGCTGAGTGGACCCTCACACGAACTGCTACAAAAGGCTAAAGAAAATCGGAACCAGAGAGCATCAAAGGGAGAGAGCTCACAGGACACACGGAGGTGGGTCCCGTCATTAAGAATGCATGAGGTTGTCAGTCTCGCAAGAGCGAGGTTCCAAACACTAAGGCGCCAAGCGAAAAGAGGAAGAGCGCTTGGTCAGGCTCCAGCACGGAGGTGTGCCGGCACGGGCGGCCGAGCGGGGCGGGAGGAGAGGAAATGACGAGCAGAAAGGGGTGGAAACGGCGGCGGGCCGGAGTCCCGGGGTGGCGGGTCGGGAGAAGGGGCGCGGCGGGCGCGCTAACGGCCCCGGGGTGGGTCTGGGAGGCCGCGCTGCGCGTCCCCGACTGGCCGCGCTTCAGACCTGCCGTCCCGACCGCCTCGAGGCTCAGGGGACGCGGGCCTCACCGGGACCCGGAACGTGGGGACACAAGGACGGGTCGTAGGATAAGGCTGGAACGACCCGGGGAAACTGCCACGGCCCGTGGCGGGTCGGACGGGCACCTGCCCTCCCAGGACCCGAGGATCGGGAAGCAGCGGTGCATCCGCCACCAGCACCCGGAGAGGGGCCTGGCTCCAAGGTGCCATCCCCACGCCGGGCCGCCCCTGCGGGCCTCCACCGGCTCCGAGCCGGGGCTGCCGGCTGCCCAGCTCCGGCAGCCTCGGCTCGACTCCCGGGCTCGGCGGACGCATGGGCCTCTCCTGAGTGGTCAGCGAGACCCGCCAATCGGGGCGCTGGGGCCGGCTCTGGGCCGCTGGATATTGGCTCCTCATGCTCACCGTGCCTCGCTCCCCCGGTTCGCTGCCCGCGCTGATTGGCTCCAGTACCGGACCCCGAAACCCAATCAGAGGCTCCAGCCGCCGCCGCCGCCGCCACTGCCGCTGCCTCGCAAAATGGCGAATCTGAACAAAGGGGAATCGGGCCTCCCTCCAACCGCCTTCGCGCAAGCGCCTTCGAAACCACGCCCCATAACCCCGGCCAGCCTGGCCCCGCCCCCTAGAGGGAGCACTGCGCAGGCGTCCCAGGGACCACCCTGACTTCCTAGCTCGGACTCCGCCTTCCGCTGGAGGACTACGCAAGCGCGTTCTAGAGGCGCCATACTCGTTTCTCCAACACTGCCCTGAGTGGTGTACCACGCAGGCGCTAATACGCCCCCCCCTGTTTTTCCCCCAACTGCAAACCCACTTCTAAGCGGCCACCGGGACACACCCCCTGAGGCCAAATGCGCAAGCGCTCCTCTTCTCGAGGCGGGGTCGGCTTCTTGGTACGCACGCCTGAGCGGCGGCGGGAGACTACGGAGTTTACCGCCGGAAATTCTGAAACCTTTACCATCGAGAGCGGGCTCGACTAGCTAGCTAGAGAGGCTCACTTCCTCCCCGTTAAAGGGTGGGGGCCGCCATCTTGGGTGCGTGAAAAGTCCTTGGCGGGATTGGTTCCGCGTGGGGGCTCTTCTGTAACTCCCCACCCACCAGGGTTTCATCTCAGACACTTCCCTGCGTGCAGGAGGGCCTGCTGACGGCCGATTCCTTTGTAGGTGAAGGATGGCCCCCGCCCTCTCTTACGGGATCCCAGGGTAGGAGGAGAGGATGGGTAGCTCGTTGCAGACTTCCTGCACCTCTAGGAGAGGTGATCTTTCACTGAGCGGCTGTCCTCTCTGCCTGCGCTCAGCACATCTCAGTTGGGTTCACTCTGATTGCAGCTCAGTGGAACTGTGGCAAAGTCCCTCCTATCTTATTCTAAGCCATATCCCCTGGGAAAATACCAGACTCTGCTAGACCTATCGTGATAGGAGAGGGTTTGGAGTAAAGGAGGTGTGTCTTGGGATCTCCCTCCTGGAAAGCGGTTTCTGTGTTGCCTCTCAAAGGCTGAGTGAACTCACATTCAGAGGTACAAGTAGAGGAAGTGGGGGAAACTAAGTGGGTTGGCAGGGTGATCTGAATGTGCTGTGCTCAGGCTGCGTGAGCGTTTTTACTTGCTTTCCCTTTTAGCAGAAGAAACTCTTAAATTCTGGAAATAGCGACCCAGTAGCATGGCCGGCCGCCTTAATGAAGATCCAGAAGGAAGTCGAGTGCGTGACTGCTATTAAATTTATCGGTGAAGTGAAATTCAGAATAATTGAGGTCAAAAGCATAAACACTTTCTAATTAAACCAATAATTGGATTGTCGCACCCCCTCCCCCCGCTTGTTTATTTCTAGCCGATTTACTTAGGAACGGCTAATACAATCTTAGCAGAGAACATCCGTCGCTTTCCCTTTACAGATATATATATATATGCTAATTCTGTGAGGTAGGAAGGTTTGGATTTAATTCCGAGTGGTGGAGAAGCAAGGAAGAGGCGGGGTAGGGGTTCTATTGAAGATCTGAAAGGCGTACTCTTTTTCTGTTTTTAACAAGCGGGTTCTTTCCCTTTGAACGTTTTAGATCACTTATGTGAAAGGAGATCTTTTCGAATGTTCCAGAACCGACTCTCTAGCCCACTGTATCAGTGAAGACTGTCGGATGGGTGCTGGAATAGCTGTTCTCTTCAAGAAGAAATTTGGAGGGGTGCAGGAACTGTTAAACCAACGTGAGTTCTGAGTTTCTATCGCAGCCTAGTTCGTCCTGGTGGAGCACAATTTGTTCTTCATTGTACCCTGTTTACTTGTGCATTCAAAGAGATTTCTCACTGAGTACTTTTAACTTTTTCTCACAAGAATGGCCTCTTTGGTGTGGATCTTTACCACACCAAATCAGAGTTCCTGTAAAAGTTTCCAGTCTCTCTGTCTAGTGTGTGTGTGTGTGTGTGTGTGTGTGTGAGAGAGAGAGAGAGAGAGAGAGAGTTCATAGTGTGCAGATACATGTGTGGAGGCCAGAGATATGTCTTTAAGCATAGAGCTTGCCCATTTAGCTCCATTAGCTGATCATCTGGTCCCTGGCACCCTCCTATCTCTATTTTTCCAGTTTGGGGTATACAATGTGTACCCTGACACCCAGGTTTTATGTGGGTACTAGGGACCAAACTCAGATCCCCATGTTTGTGCAGTAAACACTTTACAGATTAATTCGTCTCCCAAACACTCAAAAATTTCCTTCCTAATTTTTCACTTCTCTCAAAGCTTAGCTGAAGGGCTTTTCAGGTTCTTTATGTATTGCTCGGAAGTCAAGATCTGAAGCGTGATAAACAAAAACAGAAACTGGGGGTTCAACTTGAAGGTCAGAAAAGCAAAACAGCCAGCCACTGGCTCTTACCTCTACCTCAGTTCAAAATAGTGATCCTGCCTCCAGGGATCTCAGAATGAGACTGAGAGCTGTCTCCTCCGCTTTTATAATCCTCTAGTTCTGGGATTAAAGGCATGTATCATTACCGCCTGGTTTCTTTGACAAACTGGTGTGGCTACTGGGATTAAAGGTGTGTGTCATTGCTGCCTGGTCTGTAAGGCTGGCCAGTGTGGCTGTTTTACTTTTCTGTTCCTCAAGCAAACTTTATTTATTAAATACAGTGAAATGCCACTGCAAAGATCCTTTACTAAATATTCTTCTATTTGTTCCTTCTTTGAAGCAGAGGCTCACTGTGTAGCCTGGCACCTGCTGAATAACCTAAGCTGGTCTTGAATTCCAAGCAGTCCTGGCTCAGTCCTCCTAAATACTGCTAATGTTACAGGCATGAACCACTACACCAGGCTTTCTCAGCTTATTCTTCAAAGAGTAGTTTGTACTGGAAGTGGTATCAGACAACTTTAACCCAGTTTAACATAGGGAGTTGCAGGCCAGCCAATGGAGAGTAGTTTGGAAACGGCTTCTTCCACTCCACCTCCACCATTTCCACCTCCACCACTCGACCAGTGGCTTTGAATCAGAACAGCTTTACAGTACACATTTTAGGCCCATCCCTTTTCTGAACAGCTATCTTTTCAGACTTGTAAGATAATAACCAAGGACCTTAAGAAATGTTTCTTATAGCTGGGCAGGCAGCTCTCTGTGAGTTCAAGGCCAGCCTGGTCTACAAAGCAAGTTCCAGAACAGCCAAGGTTACACAGAGAAGCCCAGGAGTTGGGGAGGATAAAGCCCAGGAGGTGGGGGGATGTTCCTCATAATGTTCAATACAGCACTGTGAAAGGTCTCTGTTGGGAAGGGGGACAGGATGCCGTCTTGTAAAGAACTTGCTGTACAAGCCTGAGGGAGTCAGCTCCATCCCTGGAACCCATGTGTTTTATTTTGTTTTGTTTTATCTTTTTAAAGTTAAGTACAGACATATCAGACATGTTTTCTCCTTCCTGGAGAGGTGGAGGTAAGTGAGTCTCTGAGGCTCACTGGCCAGTCAGTTAGCTGATCCAGGGAGCTCCAGTTTCAGTGAGAGACCCTGTTTCAGAGAGAGAGAGAGAGAGAGAGAGAGAGAGAAATTATTACAATATAAAATGGTATAAGTTGGGGGTAGGGGGTTCTGGAGAGATGGCTCAGTGATTCAATGTATATAATACTTTTGAATAAGACCTGAATTGGATTCTTAACCTCCACATTTAATATCTCATAATTGCCTATAACTCTGGTTCCAGGGAATCTGATGTCTCTGGCCTCCACAGGCACCTGTACTTACACACACACACACACACACACACACACACACAAAGATCTTGTTGAATAAACATGTTTGACCGATTTTGAATGGTGGCACGTTCTAAGACACTTTCAAGACAGTTAGCATTAGCGTTTTTCAATGGACAGGTGACAGTGCATTTGGAATTTGGATAGTTATACTCAGGTCTATGGGAATTTTTTTAGTGTAAGTGTGGAGATGGATGTTTTGGTTTTCTTTTTTACTATTAAATAACTTTTTCTTAGAAAAGAAGTCTGGAGAAGTGGCTGTTCTGAAGAGAGATGGACGATATATATATTACTTGGTAAGATGGGGCCAAATCTTGACCTTGTATAGATGGGCAAATAGACTTCCCTGCATTGATCACGATGCTCCATCCGAGACAGTAAAGGATGCCATACAGCTTCCACTTTGACACCAGCTCAGCTCCAGAGGAGCTGGCTGCTTGGAGCACTGAGTTAGGTATATCAGGTTATGCTGCAGCTCCGGCGTGAGGCTCCTGTGCCGTCTACCATAGGCCTGTGGTCTAAGAGTGGCAGAAATAGGGAGACCCACTGCCCTTTCTCAGACACCTTGTCTCGAGAGAGTTCCCTGAGGAACTCATCTTCCCTGCCCACTGCAGAACCACAGAATATCCTGCCCTCTCCTACCGGCTGTGGGGATATGGGATTTTTACCTTCCACACCATCTTTGGCCCCAGAAGAGGTGTGGCTTCCTTACAGCCTGTGGGGGCGATTTAGAGACAACCCACTTCAAACCTTTTCTGGTTAGCATGCAGAGTCGGGAGACACACTGACCCGAGAGTGCTGTCCTGAAAGCCAAGAATGATTTTCTGTTGGAAGAACTACCTCTCGCTGCTGCTTTTGTAGAGAAACAAAAAGCAGGGAGTGTGATTGCGTAATGAACGGACTTGGAGGGGCGCTACCCGGCAGTATGGGTACCTTGGCACAAGTGTGTCGCTTATCTGGCACAGATTCCAGTGCCTCGCATAAGCATGGCAACAGGCACAGCTTTCCTGTGTCGTGGTTTTCCTTGTCACACAGCAGAGTGTTTCTCAGCCATTGGTGGGCTCTCCTGTGGCTGCAGGACACTGTCATCCCTGCTCTGGACGAATCCAGGGATTAATCTGTTTTTAAAAAGCGCTTATTCTTTCAGGTTGAGGATGTAGAGGAATCTGGTGGCTTCCTCATTGACACTTTTTTGGGGGGTGGAGCTAATGAGAGTTTGAATCCTTCCTTTTGTGTCCAGATTACAAAGAAACGGGCCTCACACAAGCCAACTTACGAGAACCTGCAGAAGAGTTTAGAGGCTATGAAGTCCCATTGCCTGAAGAATGGAGTCACTGACCTCTCCATGCCCAGGCAAGGAAATGGAAGACTGAATTGGTTGGTGAGGTTTGGTCTCAGAACTCCCTTCCTATTGGCTGTGAGGCTGTAGCACAGCTGTTTTCTAGCTGGAGTTGAACGATTCAGAGTGAGTAATGAGAGGCATTCACCTGCCTCAGCTCCTCTGTGGGGAGCGTCCTTGGCGTTCAGACACAGCTGTTGAATTCCTGAGTTGTGTTAAAGCGGTGTCCTCTCCTCTTGAGGCCCTGGAATCCCAGAACGGAGACTGAGCCATCACACCTCCCCCCAGTTGACTTTGTGCCCGGAGCTTGCGTGCCTGCTTGTTGTTCAGTGGGTGACAGGCAGGACCTGTCCCTGCTGTCCTTTGGAGGACTCAAATGACACTGGATGTCCAGTGGCCCTTTGCTTCCTCAGGAACTGGTCCGTACCCTTCTCTCTATTACCCTAGTGGTTTTCAGTCAGTGCTGACCAAGCTCAAGCGACTTTGGGTGTGACTACAATATCAATTCTTTATTTCTTTTTTAAATGTGCGTTAGTGTTTTACCTACATATATGTCTGTGTGAGGATGTCAGATCACCTGGAACTGTAGTTACAGTTGTAAGCTGCCATGTGGGTGCTGGGAATTGAAGCTGGGTCCTTTGGAAGAGCAGTCAGTGCTCTTAACCACCTAGCCATCTCTCCAGCCCATCATCCCTTCTTTAGTATACTCAAGGCTTTTGTATCAGAAACTTTTTTTTTTTAAATCACTATTCTTGCAGAAGTTGAGTGTCTTACTATTGTATGAAATTGGCAGTTTTGAGCTTCCCTTTGTCCCTAGGGCAGGTGAGGATCAGTACAGTGTCACAGACTTCACTTGGGCCACAGCCAGCATTCTGGGCATCGGTTGTTTCCTTCTGCAAAGGTCCTCCTCTCCCTCGCAGCCTCCTTAACATTCCACTGGTGTGAGTGTGTTTTAAATGTACGTACATTTTCCATCCACTGAAGTTAGTCTTCATCAGCAGTGGGTAACTGAGCTAGTGACCTTGTGCCAAAGAATGAAATAATTGGGAAGTAATAAGAAATAATTGGAAAGCAAAGAGACATGACGGCTGCCTCAGAACTGGTGAGTGGCTTCACAATAGGAACTGACTATAGATTCTTCACTGTGGCGGCCTGTACATCTGAGCCCAGAGAACTGTGCTTTGGATAGAGCCCAATGAAAGAGGGAAGGAGGGGCAGTCTCCTAAATATGACTACGCAACCAGTGGAGGGGTTTGTTTGTTTGGTTGATTTTCAGACTTGATCTTAAACAAAAGACCAGGAAAAGATAAGATCTTTTTTGTTTTGTTTTCAGGATTGGATGTGGTTTGGATCGTCTGCAGTGGGAAAATGTATCTGCTATAATCGAAGAGGTGTTTGAGGCTACAGACATCAAAATTACTGTGTATACACTCTGAGCAGATGGAGATTTGGGATGAGCTCATGGTCTTTGTGTCACATCTACTTGGCTGTAGGACCTCAAAATGGGCAGAGGACAGTGTGTAAGGGAATCTGTGTTACAGGCCAGATGTGGGATTCTGTATTCTAAGAAGACTGGAGGGCATTATGCCCAAACAGTGTGGAGGAGGCTGAGGCCTGTCAGCAGGCCAGGAACCAGCTAAGCCCACCTGACCTGTTTGCTTGTCCACGACTGGATTTGTTTGGCTGGCCACTAGGTGGCAGCATTGATTCTAACTCTCTTGTTTTTAAGGAGAAATTGTGGGAGACTTGGTAAACTGTTGAGATTCTTTGGTGTCTTGTGTTTGTGCACTTGATGCTAGTCTGATCATCCTAGGGAAGGATTGTGCTTGTTTTGTAGTTACTCATGTAGTTCTCCACAGTCACAAGGAGCTTATTGGGACAGGAGTGGAACAATAAACCTTTCTGTTGGAGTCACTGAAGTTTTTGCGCATGCACATCTATTTTCTGGGTTTGGGGGGCAGGCTGAACCTCTGACTTAATTTTGAAGAGCCGAGTTCACTGGGGAGAGCAACAAGGTCAGAGGTAAGTGTGACCAGGATTGTGTCCCCCTGGGTAGGAGGCAGGGCTGGAGTGTTTGTGGGGACCATTGGCTGTTTACTGCATGGTTGACATGATCGGCCATGTCTGAATTTAGTCAGGAGGCCGGTTAAATTACTCTAAAGACTCAGTGGCAAGTGGGGTTCTAGGTTCGTGTTTCTACCCGAAGACAGTAATGTGCAACTCACTGGATCTCGGGAGCACTGCGGTAATTATTGGGCCCGCTTCTGAAACTAAGGCCAAATGGCATGTCTGCGGAGGGAGAGGAAAGCCAGTGTTCTGTTATTAGAACTATTGGGGGGCTAGGACCCTCCTGCCCCGCTGTGGTCATTCTGAGAGACCGCACAGCCAGGCATATGCAGATTTTACTCTAGCGTGAATGCTGGTTGCTCAGGAATGGGTCGTTTTTCCCAGTGTAAAAAAAACAACTAAGTTTTACAAAAGCCTTCTGGAAGTACCAGGGAAGCGCTGGTGACGCACTCTTGGTACTTTAGACATGTGTTTTTATCACACTGCAGCCTGATAGGAGGCAGCTGTTCAGAAAGTGTTTCACTTTAATATCTGGAGATGGTTTCTGCATGTTGCTGTGGGGGGCGTTCATTACAAACAGAGACCAAAGCTTTTATTGGGACCTTGTTGAGTCTGTACACCTGTAGGGAGAAAAGTCTTGAGAGCAGGGTGCTGGGCAGGTTATCTTGTCTCACTCTGTGGCAAATCTTTACTCTCTTTCCCTCCAGTGGGTTCAGCCTGCAGACTTTCATGTTAGATTGTTCCCCACCACCTCCAGCCCCCGCAGAAACCTCTTAATGCTCAGTCAGATTGCTAGCCCTAGCTTCCCTTGCTTTAGGGGGATTATAGCTTATTTTTGCAGGGCTCTTGATTGACTATTGGTCACATCCTGGGCCTTAGTAGGGGTGTGATCTAGTGCCTTGGGTCAAATTCCAGGGATTGATCACACGTGAAGCCTGAGGAGAGGAGACACAGCCTGACAATAGATGAGCACAACCTTCTTGGAAAGCCAGGTGGAGTGTGGCTGGCACCCAGGCATGAACCTTTTGGGAAATGACACTTGGTACCTATCCTATCGTGGTTTCCAGTGCTGCCCTTTGGAATCTCACAGTGTCTGAACATTAACCTGGTACTTTGGACCCTCTCTAGTGAGGAGGAAGTTTTTATTGCTTGGCCATCGAGGTGTGGAGATCTCAAAATTCCAAGCCTTGTGACCCCCACCATATTATCTTCAAAGAAGCTACCATTTAGAAATAATTCCAGGGAAAAGTGTTTTCTTGATTTTATAGTAGTGCTGGGGATGGAGTGAGGGCCTTGTAGATGCTAGGCAAGTACTCTACTGGTGAACTAGATCTCCTTCCGGAAGAAATGCACATGGGGTGAGAGGACCCCATCGTGGCTGTCTTCACCCTCCACCTTGTGTGAATCAGTCTCCTGGTGCCATTGGGTGTGCCAGGCTGGCTAGCACATCTGCAGGGATCTCGTTCATTTTTTATTACGTGCTAAGCTTAAGGACTCATGCTACTGCATTCTTTGCATGGGTTCTGGGGATTTGAACCCTGGTTCTCACGCCTACAGCAAGAGCTTTTATCCAGTGAGCCATTGCCATTTCCCAGTCCTCAGAAAAAAATGGAAGGTCAGGACCATAGTGAGAAGTGAGTCTTAGAGAGTTAGATCCTCATTGCCAAGACCTGACTTTCCCTTCCTAAGTCGCGGCTTGGTTCTTTGCATACAATGTCCCTGTGCCCCGTCTCCACTCACTGTCCATGGGAACTTTCCATTGCCCAACTTTCTTTAAAAAAAACAGGCCAGAAAAAACACACTATTTCCTTTATTAATGATACTAATTTGCCTTTTAAAAAACCAACAACAACCCAGCCCAAATCAGAACACTTCTCGAAGTCTTGCAAAGGTCTGTCCTATAACCTGAGGATCTTTGTCTCAGAAAACACCCCTGGGGAGGCAGTGAGACCCTCCACTCCAGGTGCCTGGTGCCACTTTACAAAAGGCACAGCTGAGTGAATGACAGCCTGAGGTGTGCTTCCAGTTCACGGAGGGAGGGCCTTCTCCAGCACAACTGCTTGGTGTCAAATGTCCAGCTCCAAGTATAATTGGGAAGACAGGCATGTCCTGGATGCCGTCCATGTCACTGCTTCTCTGGGTGGCAGCGGACAGACCTTCACGGAAAACAGAGCGTGTTACTGACAGCCTGGCTGACCCCCAACAGCCTACCCTCTGAGATAACTAAGGTGTCTTTGTACCTTCCCTAAACAGACCCTGAATGCTTCCTCCAGGGCCTCCTGTGGCTCCTGGCTGAGCTTGCTGGGATTGTTTCCTTTGCTGCTTTGGTGTGGAGATCTGCCTGGATTCTGTACTCTAGTTAAATACAGGGTACAAAGATTCTGCCTTGCTTTGCTTTTCTTGACACAGGGTTCCGCTGAGTAGCTGTGGCCTAGAACTTACTCCACAGACCAGACTTGTCTCAATCAGAAAGCTGTTTACCTCCGCCTCCCTGTGCTGGTCCAGCATTTCTTAAAGCAGAAAATGAAATAAGAGATAGACATTTCTTTAGTGAATGCTTTTTAGTGGACTTTAAGAAGGGCTCTTCTTCACGGTCATTTAGGCTCAGCCACAGCTTTTTTGTTACATTTGATCTTCCCCTCAGGAACCTGGAAGACTCGGATATGCACAGCGAAGTGCTAATGCATTCAAGAATACTGTTTGAATTTGTATACACAAGGAAGGGTAATGTTCTTTTTAAAAATAAAAATTTATGTGTATGGAGGGGTGTATGCATGTTTAGAGGTTGAAGAATACTTTTTGGGAGTCAATTCTCTCCACAATGTGGGTCCCATGGATCAAACTCAGGACTTCAGGATTGGTGGCAAGCACCTTTACTCAGTAAGCCATAGAGCAAGCCCAGAGTATTTTAAAACAAGATGATTTAGACAGTACTTACCACTCATACTGAATTGTTTACTGAGTATCAGTTAAAATGCTCAGCGTGATCCCAGATTAAAACTTTTTAATCAGCTGTGAAATTCATAATTTTAATGAAAACTAAAATCCCTAAAGACTTGATAGTTCGGTAGCTGGCAGAAGTGGCCTGTAAAAGTCTTCAGAGGGACTGGCAAGACAATTCAGGTTAGGCTCCTGCTGCCAATACCCACCCCCAGAACCCACATGGTGAAAACAGAAGACATCTTTGGCAAGTTGTCCTTTGACCTACACGTGTTTGTTATGAGATGTGCCCCTCCCACACACAAATAAGTAAAAATTAAACTTTATAAAAAGTGTGATATTTTGTGGGAGTTACTGCTGCTGTTTTGGGGATAAAGTAGCATTCTCTTCAGTCTACCTATTGGTTCTGGGAACACAGGCATATAATAACAATACTTAGTTTTTATTATTGTTACTGTCGGTGGCATTGGGGTTGAATCCAGTAGGTATGCTTGGATTTCACAACCAAGCATACCCCAGCACAAATTTTTGGGCTTTGTAAGCATTCTACCACTGAACTACAGTCCCACTCCAAATTCTTGGGGTTTTTTATTGTTTGTTTTTGACTTGTTTTGAGACAAGTTCTCCTTAGTTACCTTAGGTTAGTCTGAGAATTGGTATAACCCAAGATAGCCTCTAACTCATGATCCTCCTGCCTCTGCCTCTGGAGTGCTGAGGATTATCGGCACACACCACCATATCCCTCTCTCCCATGGAGACCGCAATAAAGTTGAGCTGGTGGTCACCATTCTGGTAAGTCTTATGCTGGCTGTACAGTTACAATAGTTGGGCCTACACTAACAAAGATCTTTGGGGGATTGTTAGAGTAAGTTCTGTATTTTCAGGGGTTACTTTATAGCGTGAACCTACTTCATGACTTCCCACTGTCCTTTTGCTAAAAAGGACAGACTGAAAATGTGTCGGCTGGTCAGGAAGATGCTCAGCCTGGGGATGTCTGTGCACCCTGCCTGCATGCCTGATAACTAACACCTGCCTACCCGTGGCTCCGGAACATTGGGATTCCAGAGTGTGGCTGTGAAGCAGCATCTTCGAGAAACATCAAACATAAATTGAATGATCTTCATGGACACGTGCTGCGTCCATGTTTTATGAATATAGAAGTCATTCCCGACTTAAAGTCGGGTAGGAGTGCAGTGAAGAGCCTTCACCATTACTAGATTTTGATCAGCAACTCTGGCCGTGGAAAGGGGCTCAGTCACAGCGGTTCCATAGAGGCAAACTAGATCAGACCAAATTCAAAAGATAGTGAAGGACCTTTTACCCTCTTTCCTGAGGATAATTGGCCTGTTTCTGTGAGAGTCTAATTTACCCTCAGCAAGAGGCCAAATTGGCCTTAATTGTGTCCTAATTATTTGCCTAAACAGCTCGTCTTTATTTCCTGTTCTATCACCTCTTGACATCTGTAGGAGGCTACTTCTGAGCTGCTGTTTCAGCTACAGACATCTCTTAACCCTTTAGACGGTCCGGCATAAACTAGCTCACTACTCTTACCCGATCACATTTGACACTTCAGGAGTTCCCTGGACTGTTCTCAAGAAGAAGAAAGCCCTGGCCTTATGCATCCACTCAGTAACCACTGAGCAACTCAAAGAACAGCCCTCTGAAAGCAGGATAGCTTATCTGGCTAAAATCAAAAGATGGAGAGATGGTTCAAACTTAGGAGCTCTCGGTGCTCTTCCAGAGGACTTGGGTTTGATTCCCAGCACCACGTGGTGCTTCACAACTGCATGAAACTCCAGTTCCAGGGGATCCCATGCCCTCTTCTGCTCTCTATGGGGACCAAACATGCACACGGTACACAAACGTACATACAAACAAAGCATCCACACCCATAAACTTTTTTAAAAGAAACAATAAAATGTCAAAAAAAAAAAAGGATGACAAAAGAAAAAAAGCAACAAACTTCCCAAGAATGAGAACTCTGCATTACAGAACAGAGGTTGTGAACTTGGAAACAGGACCTAGAAAGGCCACAGTAAGGGTCTTGGAGTCCCAGGAACTGGAGCTAGGGGTGGTTGGAAGCCACCACGTGGACGCTAAGAGTCAAACCTGGGACCTCTGCAAGAATGACAGTGCTCATAACCACTAACACCATCCCTCCAGCCCTAATGTTTATGTACATTTGTGTACTTCTCTGTGAGTATGAGCAAGTGCATCCAGTGTCCAGAGTCCAGAATGTGGTAGGTCCCCTGGGGGGAGTTACAGGCAGTTGTGAGCCACCCAGTATGGGTGCTGGAACCGCATAAGAGCACCAGTGCTCTTAGTGATGGAGCCCTACCTCCAACCCCACGATGTGGGTGTAGGTAGAGGGATTCAGAGGACAGAAAACAATGTTTGAGAATGTTTCTACAATCCATTAATACAGAGGAGTGCACTCCCTTCAAATTATATTTCCTCCCACCTGACCTCAAGTCTTCTACCCAAGTAAATATAGAGTTGGCGCCAGGGCACCAGGAAAACTCACAGAGGGCTGAGCTTGGCTGCCTACTTCAGGATGTCTGCCAGCTTCTCCTCATAATATAGGAAGTTCTCCTGAATGTCCTCCCAGGGCTGAAAGGCCTTGGATTCACCCTCTTCCTGCTCCACAAAATTCTGCCAGACGTACTCGAAGTCCTGGGGCTTCATGATGCGCAGTTTGCAGCCTGCCTCCTTCAACTTTTTTAGAGCGGCCTGGACCTCTGGCTCCTCCCACATGAAGAGCCGGCCCACCAAGATGAGCAGGCGCAGGTTCTTGGCCTTGCTGAGTGTTTTGAGAATTCGGTCAGCACAGGCTGCACAGGGGCTGGAGGACACATACCAGGTGACATTGTACTTCAGGGCCGGGTCGAAGGCTGGTAGGATGGTGTTAAAGAAAGCCTCCTCGGCATGGGCACCTGCATGTTCATCCTCCAGGTAGCCCCGAGAGGCCTGCACTTGGCCTCCCTTGTTCTGGGCTTCAACCACATAGCAGAGGAAGGTCTTGTTCCGACCGGAACTGTATTCCACGTTCCGGAACTGAAATTTAAAGTAGTTGACAGGCAGTCGCTCCCTGTGGGTCAAGGAGACAAGGCAGGGAAGAAGGGAATGATGAGTCCTTGTTTCTAGGGCCTAGGTCGAGCAGCTCTCCTTGCTTATGCTGATGCCATGTGGGGGGGAGCACAGTTAGGACAGCGTGCTGCTCTTCTAGGGGACGTGAGTTTGGTTCCCAGTATCCATGTTCAGGGGCTCACAACTACCTGGAACTCCTGGAACTCTAGTTCCAAGAACTCTGACACCCTCTTTCTGGCTTCCAAAGCCACCTGCACACTATTCAGTGACTTATACACATCTATATAAAAATACCCAGCCCTTAAACAAAGGTCTTTTTATGTCGCCCTGGCTGTCCTGGAACTATATAACAGAGACCCTCCTGCCTTTGCCTCCTGAGTGCTGGGATTAAAGGTGTGGACCACCATGCTTGGCTCAAAAGTTTACTGGGGGCGAGGAACACAGAAATAATCTGGATTTGAGTGTGTTTCCTGCCAGGAAGTATCCCCAGTATTTTCACTGTTGACCCAGCTTCCCTCTCTCTTTCCTCTCATTTCTTTCTCTAATGAGGTCTAGTTAGCCCAGCTGCCCCAAAACTCCAGATTATCTTGCCTCAGCCTGCCTGCCAAGTTCTGGGTGGCAGGTGTGTGCTGCCCCCACTCCATCATGGTGAGTTTTCAAGTCACACAGAGAATAGCAATTTTGTTTTTGTTTTGGGACAGGGTTTCACTGTGTAGTCTTGGCTGTCCTGGAACTTGCTCTCAAACTGAATAGAAAGGGAAAGAGAAAGTGAGCAGGCCAGCATTCAGTGCTTCCAGCTCCCCATGGGATGCCTTGTGACCAGTTCCTCACTCATACCCCCCCCCCCCCCCCCGCTTGGAAGGGTATCTCCTCAGACTGGGAACCCAAAAACTCCTCTTTAGTTGCATCTTGCCAGGCATTTGGTTACAGCAATAAGGACAGGCTTTGGAATAAATGGGGATCCTGAAAGTTAAACCTTGATTCCAGAGGCAGTACAAAATGTTTTTTGTTCTCGAAGAAAAGCGTGACATCCAGGGCGGACCACAGTGGCGACACCGGGCTGATGCAGCACAGCCTGAGAGGAAAAGAGCCCACTGGATGTCTTCCACCGAGGACTTGGTGTGTCCAAGATTTAAATGGAGAGTTATATCAGGTAGTAAATGGAACAGGTGTAGCTGGGCATTTTAAAGAACAGCATGGCGTTAATAAAAAGAGAAAGGGTCAGAGCTGACGTGGTATTCTCTTAAAATTACATACATACCTTCTTTTGTATTTGTTTGTTTCTGTATGTGGAGGAAGCACATGCGCTCCATTGTGTGTGGAGGTCAGAGGACAATTTGTGAGGGAAGTTTCTCTCCTTCCACCCCATGGGTCAGAGGATTGGGCTCAGGTCATCAGGACTGACAGTAAGCACCTTTACCTGCTGAGCCATAATTTTTGTGGGTCTCAAAGATTGCTTTTAGTTTTCTTATTTGAGAGTGTTTTTCTAAAATGTAGGCCCATATAGGTTTGGAGGCCAAAGAAAATGGGAGTTTTCAAAGTCAGGAGTGGGAAGAAGTGCCAGCCGGAGGGGCTACTCTCCTTGTACCTGTCACTGGGGCTGCGGTGTGGCTCTGTGAGAGGCTTGCCCAGCGTGCGAGACCCCAGCACCACAGGATAAATGTGTACTCTGTGCACCTGCTGCAGGATGCGCCCCTGCACCACTGATTCACTAGCTGCCTCCTCTCCCCTTTCCGCAGAAAGGTTATCAGACTCCAGACCGCAGGGGAATCCCTCATGTCCGGCCGGGAACAAGGCTGTGTGAGGAATTGCCGAGAAAGCCTGAGCGACTGACCTCCTTGCCTCGTCACAGAATGTCTCCACCCATGTTCCCACGTCTCTTGCTGTCAAGTTTCCAACATGGAGATGGATCTGTCTGAGGACCCAACCCCGGGATTCCTTCAGGGCTATATTCAGCTCTCTAAGTGTCTCTATCCCTGGCTGGAAGTATTTACTATTTACCTAATATTTCAGCAGGAGCAACACACCTGCTGTTTTACCTTTCCTCTTTCGAACCCAGATGGAATATTCCTGATTGCATAGTTTCCCTCTCCCACAAACCACCCTCCAGCTCTACCTCTTCCTCGGGGGTCTCCTCATTTCCTGAGAATCCTGTTTCTGAGAACACAGAGCTGATGCTTTGGTACTGGGACTTTTGTTAGACTCCTTTTCTCCCTAACCGGAGTCGCCCTCTATGATGGATCCTGGGAGGTGGGGTTTGGAAGTATTTATGACTACTTGGTAAGCTTTTAGCAGTAGCTGCCCCATGTGGTCCTTCAGTTTGTTTGTTTGTTTGTTTCTTGAGCCCCTCTTCCACACATACACCCTATGCCCAAAGCGTTTTTTCCAGCTTTGACCAATGTAGCCTCACTAAAAGCAAGAATTTGGCTCAGCCAACAGTAGAAAGCTGACTGAATGGATGAGAACTGATTTCTTCTTGAGGCCCCTCCCTCATAAACTCTGACATTTGTCCCCTCTCCCCCTCCCCCCAGCATGAAGAGAGGACCTAGAAACCCTAAACCCATGGGAGTGGAAGAAAGGTCACCTCACTATAAATACCCTTTCTAGTCCAGTCCTGCCAGCAGTCCCGGAGCCCACCCCGCCCCTCTCCCTCGAAGTCCGGTAGCCCACCCGGCCCCTCTCCCTCGCAGTCCCAGAGTCCACCCGCCCCTCTCCCTCGCAGTCTCAGAGTCCACCCACCCCTCTCCCTCACAGTCCCGGAGCCCACCCTGCCCTCTCCCTTTCAGTCCCGGAGCCCACCCGCCCCTCTCCCTCTCAGTCCCAGAGCCCACCCCGCCCCTCCCCCTCTCAATCCCAGAGCCCATCCCGTCCTTCTGGTCTAGCTGCTTAAGGAAGACCCGCTGCCTGTGCTTTTCTTTGGCTTGCCTAGAGCCTGGGCTTGCTTGGCTCCTCTGGCACCTCCGTGGGCTTCTTGGTCAGAAGGAGCACAAAGGTCAAAATGAGGGAGTTTTTGCTTGTTTGTTTGTTTGTTTTTGGTATCCTATGGACTGCCTCAACCAGGAAAGAGCTGATGAAGCCTGAAATTACTGTAGAGGTCTGGATGACACGACTCAGGCAACTGTGGAAAGGCAGGACAAGCCAACACTGTTTAGCCCCAGAGGGGAAGGAAGGAAGCAGGGACATCTAATTTCTCAGTTGTAAGCCTTTTCCCTATTAACACAATATGGCTAAATATTACTCTCAACCTCAGGAGATTTCACTCTTAAAGAAGGAGTGAACACTGTCTCTCTGTGTGCATTTGTGCATATGTGCGCATGTGTGAATGTGTGTTGGAGGGCAGGCTAGAGAGCCACCATGGTGGGAGGGCTTGTTTCTCTACATTTAGTCACTCATTCAGTGACCCAGGAGTGATTCCGGGTCCCTTTAAAAGGCACCACTCACACTGGGTATTGCACGGAGCCAATAGAGAAGACACTGAATCCCTATATATATTGAATGAAGGAGAACAAATGTGAGCATATGTAGTGTGTACTTTTTTTCTAAGGTGTATGCTTTAAACATCTGTTTTTCCTAAGTACAAATATACAACTAAAGGGGGCAGCATTGGAGTCCCTAGAAGCTGGTCAGAGAAGAAATATTTGCTACAAAGTAATCCATGGACTTCCACTAAAACAAAATATTTGCTACAAAGTAACCCATGGACTTCCACTCTGGATGGAATGCTGACTTGTTTCGGTTTCCCCTGCGCAGACTGCCTGTCTGTAACTCCGATGAGCCATAGAGTTGCTGCTTTCAATAGCACCTTTCTCAGACTGCTTTCAATGTTGGTGCCAAGAGTGAGCGCTAGAAATCAGGAGCTCCCCCAGCTTGCCTTAAGCACCTCCAGCAGCTACATCATCATTATCACAGATCACCCTCTTGTTCTGTCCCTCTTGCGCTCTCTCTCTCTCTCTCTCTCTCTCTCTCTCTGTGTCTCTGTCTCTCATATACCCACCCTGAGACAGCCTTTTGCTCCTCCCACCCCCAATAAATCTCTTGCATAAGATCTGTTGTGTGATCTTTGTGGCACACCTTGGCCTGGAGATCCACCAAGATAGCCTGCCTCATAAATCCTAATAGTGAGCCTAGTCCTAGTCAGGAGGAAGAGTGTAGAGCAAAACAGATTTACAGGACTAAGTTCTGCCTAAGGCAAACAGGAAGCCAGTGCTTTCTCCACAGGACACCCTCTTTCCATACAGCTTTGACCTTCCTGAAGACCAGGGTGGTGGCTGGTGGGCCATTTTCTGTTTTTAACAGTCCACTCCCCAGTGTGTTCCAGAGACCAGTGACGTTATGAACAGTGTTGAGGGGGCTGATTATGGTGACACATGCCTTTAACCCGAGCACTCGGAGACAGAGATGGGCAGAGCTCTGTGGATTTGAAACCAGCCTGGTCCACATACTTGGTTTCAGGATAGCCAGAGCTGAATAGTGAGACCCTGCTTCCAAAAACCTAACGCTCAGTGGCGAAAGTGCTTGTTGTGCATGAGTCAGGACCGGACTTTGAATCCAAACCTAAGTGAAGAGCCAGATGTGGTCGTACCTTGTCTGTACGACCTGGCATTCCTGTGCTAACGAGGAAGGCAGGGACAAAAGACTCCCTGGCAGCCATGGGCCAGCTAGCTGGACAGACACAGTGCAAAACATGAGACCCTACCTCAAACAAGGTGAAGGTGGGGATCGACCCTCAAGGGAGTTCTCCTATGGCTGCCACATATACACCACGATATGCATGCTCCCAAACTCCCACAAATGTGTACACACAAATGTACTTGCATACATATACACACAATGGTGTTACACACACACACACACACACACACACACACGGTGTTGAAGGTTCACTTTACAGACATACAGGTAAGTAAAATATTCATGCATACACATACAGTAAAAAAGTAATCTAGAAGAATGAGGAAGACATGGTTAAGAGAAACTCATTCTGCCATTTGTCTTCAGTCCACCATAACCCCTACAGAAACATACATGATGCCACACTCAGAAGGGTGGTGTTAGGTAGGGCCAGGACCACTCCCGGCAGAGATGGAAAGATGGGTGTCATGTTGCCCTAGAGCACCCCAGTGCTCGCTGCAAGGGTAAGCCTGGAAAATTCTATCCATGGTAAGAATGGCAAGGCTCTTTATAGTCTGATCTTCTCTGCATTAGAAACTTTCCCTCCAGCTCGCTTCCTGTTACAGTGGCTGGCAGAAAGCCTAACACGAGGAAGTGCTCGCTCATTAGTCTATTCATTTAGCCTACAAATATTTATTGAGTACCAATTGAGAGCTAAGATAAAGCCGTGAAAGAGAGGCCTTCCTTCTCTCATACAGGGGAGCTGTTCCTATGGAAGCCAGCAGAAAGTGCACAGTTCACAGGTGGCAAACACCGGGAACATAAAAGTCTTCTTTGTCACTTGCTTTGGGTAGTGCTATGCTTTAAGGTCATGAGGTTCGTGCCCTGTGATTCAGACCATGCTTGAGCAAAGTTCCCATCCCTCTGACGTTTATTTTCTGTATGCAAATAATGGAGAGATCCAACCTCTCGGATTTTGAGCAGTAGTAGACACTTAATAATTTACAGCTGATATTGACGGATAGTGCCTTCTCTAAGCCTCAAGTTATACCTTTCAAAGAGTAATCCTTAGCTTAGCCAAACCACAGAAAGAGAAACTTCTGGAACTGAGACAAATAGGCCCAGCTCTCTGAGAGAAAGAGATTAAAAAATGCCCAAGTTGTAATATGTGCTGGTTTTTTCTTTTTACATAATAATCATCTTTGTATATATGTATGTATGTATGTATGTATGTATGTGTATATGTATGTGGGGGGTGTTGCACATGATGTGTGGTGTGGACACTAGTCTGTGCATGTCATGCCGCCTGTTTGGAGTCTAGAGACAATTTTGTGGCATCAGTTCTCTCCCTCCACCTTTACGTGGGTTCTGGGAATGAGCTCAGGTTGCCAGGCTTGCATGTGAAGCTCCTTCACCTGCTGAGCATTTCGCAAGCCCAACATTTGTTGATTTCTCTCATGTAGCCCCGCACTATGGAGATCCCAAAGTCTATGTGGAGATCACTGGATACAGGACAGGGAAGAGATGGGCCGAATCTACTCCCCAGAAGGGAGGGTCTGGCTTCGGCACCCACTGTGGTTTTAGACCCTTTTCCAGAATCTTTTACCATCTTTCTTTGTTCTTCTGCTCAGGTCTGCTTTCTGTCTGTCTATCTGAAGCACCCCATGTAAACAGAACCACCACAAATCACTCTCCTCACTTCTCTGCAAACCCTCTTTGTTTCAGATTGTGCTTCCTAGAACATCCCCTGCTCTTCTGCTAGCTTCAGTCCAAATCTAAGGAACATTCTAGACCCATTCCCCATGGAGTCTAGACTAGGGAAAGAGCGGCTTCATGGACCTTCGAACAGGGAAGGAAAGGCCAGCCATATTTCCTGACCCTGTGAAGGCAAGGCCACACCCCTGGGCTATTTTATGTATCTGTTTATCTAGAGAGGCCTAGGCAACAGATCAGCGCAGCTGTTGCCTGTGTCCAGGGAACACTCAGAGCTCCACCTCCATCCAGAAGTCATCACAGGGGCCCCAGAACCGAGTCCCTCTGTGGCCCTTTCTCCAAGCCTTGAGTCATGGAAAGCCTGTAACTCATTGCCATGGAGACTTGTGGACAAGATACTTGGCTAAGAGTCCAGAGGCTGGATACTTCCTGGTTCTTTGATCTTAGATGTATTGTTCAGTCTCCCTGAGTCTCCGTTCTCTCTCTCTCTCTCTCTCTCTCTCTCTCTCTCTCTCTCTCTCTCTCTCTGTGTGTGTGTGTGTGTGTGTGTCTGCCTGTCTGTCTCTGTCTGTCTGTCTGTCTCTGCATTATACTGAGAGTGAATAAACACATTCTCTTGACTGTGTGTTGTGAAGCCTTAGAAAAATGTCATTTACTTCAGAGACCCTTCAGGCTCCACTGCCCTGGGACCCAGTGCATGTTCAAGTCAGCAATCTAATTTTGATGTTGACTCACCTCTCCCCGGTACCTGGGAGATCAAAAGCTGCATAGAGGGGAAAGTATGTGTGTAACCCAGGCCAACGTGGCCCAGCATGCTCAGGTGTCAGTAAAAGGACCCTTGGCCATAGGCAAGCCCCTGGAATTGAGGACCCTGCTGCCCTAGGCTTTCCCTGTGTCTATATTAGTCTGTGCCCAGCTGTTCCCTTAATCCTGGGATGAGAGCAGGATTATCTGGGTGAGCAAGAGTGAATGGAAGCTCAGTGGCTCCTCACGTCTCAGGAACCCAGCTCCACTTCCCCCTGGGCTCTCTCAGAAGGCAGAATATATCTGAGCAGGAAGGCACATTAAGAATCAAGTCGAGTAAGCTTCCTCATGTTAGAAATAGTCAAGCGGAGGCCAGGCCTAGGGCATTTCTTTTTACATAATTACTCATCAAGCATAAAGCAGCAAGTTTCAACTGTACCTGGGACAGCTTCTCCCCATGAGAATATCCTTGCCTTTCCCCCTGAGACTCAGCGTGCCTCCAGCCAGCCTTTTCACGTTGCTGGAGACTGCCGTGACAAGAACCACGGCCGGCCCAGGGAGGAAGCCTGCCACCAGTCCCTTCTCTCTCTGACTTGAGTTTAGCAGCGTCTTCCCTTCTCGGAATAGAGAGGGATGGGGAAGGCTACTATTGTTTATTTCTGGTGATGGTACAATCTGGACAAGAGGGGACTTGAACATGACTCTCTCCCTCAGGCACCTGTGGACTGTTTCATCTGGGCACAGTTGCCCCAGGCTGTACTGCACTTGTGGGAAGCTTCCTCTGTGAATAAGCTCGTAATATCTGCAGTCTGAGAGGTGACTGGTTCCTCTATGGATAAGGTCTTAATGTCTGCAGTCTGAGAGGTGACTGTCTTGCTGGGACCATCTTTGATGTACCATTCTCAACAAGCTCCTTGGGAGTGGGCTAGATGCACAGGGCAGGCGATGCCCGATACCTGCAGGCAAGCCCAGAGGCCCCGGGGCTCTGCCTCCCTCTCCACAGCACCCACACCACCACCATTCCTCTTGAAGTCTCTCAAGAAGGCACCATTCTTTGTTTGTACACATCAGAAACTGCCATGAAGAAACCGCATAGACTTTCGCTCTGTGGGTCCCTTCCTCGGGGGCACTCCCCTCCCACCTCCTACTGATTACAGAGTTCAGAGTGTCACCTCATGAAGTCAAGGGTTCCTGGACCTGGTGGTGTGCGCCTTTAATCCCAACACCAAAGAGGAAGGGGCAAGAGTAGCTCTGTGAGTTCAAGGCCAGCCTGGTCTATGTAGTAAGATTCAGGTCAGTCAGAGTTAGGTGGTGAAACCCTGTCCCCCACCCCCCAAAAGTAGGAAAGGTCCGGAGGCATTTGCTGCCCTGAAGACCCCTGCTAGGCTGCTGTGCAGCTGGTGTCTGACCTTGGCCCTGCTAATCTTGCCCTAAGCTTCCATAGCCTGCACAGACTCCATGCTCTCCCAGGCAGCAGACCTCAGCCCCCCGCACAAGGCTCACCCTGTGACGATCTCGAAGGGTGGCAGGTCAATGAGCTCCTTCAGCTTCTCAGGGTCTTCTAGGTTCTCCAAATGGTCTCCATTCTGGGAGGCGGGCGCTGCGGCCTCAGCGGCCTCTTCTTTCTGAGCCATGGGGGAAGTGTGGCTGAGAAGTAGAAGGGTTGCAAAGCCAACTGGGGCCTGGCGGCAGAGTCCCAAGCAGCTGTCAGCAGCTAAACCTGGCGGAGGATGACAGCAAGAGGACCGGCCTGGTGCTCTGGCCCTCAGCGGCAGGCTTTATAACCAGGGCCCCCACCCCTCCTCTGGAGCTGACTCCCTCATCTTTTTTTTTTTTAACGGAATGACTGGCGGGTGACAGGGGTGGGGGAATGGAAAGTCTGGCCCTGTTTCTTCCCCTATTTATCAGTAGGCAGACAGGAAACTGGCAGGTGGGGAGGGCTGGGCCAACTCTTCCCCACCTCTCTCCTCTCATCCTGTGTTCTCAAGTGGCTCCTACCCAGACTCAGCTGAGCATTTGAGGAGAAGCCCTCACAGTGTCTTAAACAGCATGAAGCCTGTGATGGTGGAGGGAATTGTAGCGACCCCAGGCATTCCTGTTCGGGACCAGCGTCAGGACAGGAGGGTCTTGGAGGGCACGAGATAGAAAGCAATGGTTTGAAATGAGAATGTTTGTTGCTGCTTCATTCTGCATGTGTTTGTTGTGAGTTCAGGTTGTGGTAGCAACTGACTTTTAAAGGTGTGTGTGTGTGTGTGTGCGTGTGTGTGTGTGTGTGTGGTCTGTGGAAGCATATGCTCACCTATGTGTATGATGACCAGAAGAGGAAACCAGCAGGAATCTTCCTTTATTGCTCTTTCTTTGAGGCGGGATACTTCCCTAAACCCGTGCCTCACGTTGTCTGACTTGTACTAGAAGCCAGTAAGCCCCAGCCATCCTCAGATCTCTGTCCTAATCCAAGCTGGTTGACAGGTGTCTCAAGACCACCCAGCTTTTTCTGCAGATGCTGGGATCCAAACTCTGTTTTGCGCGATTGAGGATCAAATTCAACCACTGCTCCAGCTGCCGAGGACCACTAATCCTATAGCCGTAGGAGTGCTCAGTTTACTGAGATCCAAAGTTTCTAAATGGGCCTGGTAGTGAGTTGAGCCGTTTACCTGTAAAGGTGTATTTAAGGTTCTTCATAGCTCCGGCAGGCAACATGTGCTCTTGCCGCACTAAACGCGGGGACACTGAGACTCACAAAAGAGTTAGGGTACTTGCTTGAGGTCAAGTGGAGTTGCTAGGATTAAAACCCCATTTGGTCCAAAGGGCAAATGCTCAGCCTTCCTCCCCTTCATCAACCCTGTGCTCATCTGACGAATGTGAGAGTTCTCTGCCAGGAACTGTGCTAGGCACGGAGGTGCAGAACAGCCCAAAGAACGGAGCAAAGCAGAGCCCTGCTCTCTTGATGCTCACAGCGGCCAGCTGCCAAATGAGCTAAGTAAAATAGGTGATATATTTTTGGTAAGTGCTAGGGGAAAAAATGACAAAGGGTGAGATTAAATTTTTAAAAGGTGTTTACTTTCTTTTAATTATTTGTTTGCTTATTTTTATAGACAGAACCTCCTATGTAGCCATGGCTATCCTAGAACTCTCTCTGTAGACCAGGCTGGCCTCAAATTCACAGAGATCCACATGGCTCTGCCTTATAAGTGCTTGGATTAAAGGCATGCACTACTATGCCTGGCCTTTATTATTATTTATTTATTTGATTTTTTTTTAAGACAAGGTTTCTCTGTGTAACCACTCTCGCTGTCCTGGAACTTGCTCTGTAGACCAGGCTGGCCTCAAACTCACAGAGATCCTCCTGCCTCTGCCTTCTAAGTTCTGGGATTCAATGCACATACCACCATGCCCAGCTTGGCCCTTATTTTTTATTTTTAATTGTGTGCTTGTGTGTATGTCTCTCTGTGTGTATATGTGCATGTGAGTGCAGGTGCCTGCAGAGGCCAGAAGAGGGCATCAGATGCACTGGAGGTGTACTTGCAGGAAGTTATGAGCTACCAGTATGGGTACTGGGAACTGAACTCAGGTCCTCTGCAAGAGCAATATATGCTCTTAACCACTGAGCAATCTTTCTAGCCCCAAGATTAGATTTTGATAGGGAAGGACTTTGGAAAGAAACAGGGAGCACTGTGAAGGAGACAAAGGAAGCATTCATATGCCTATCTAAAGGGAAAGTGTTCCCAGCAGAGGTAGAGGGGGTGGGGGAGGAGCTAGGGAAAGGTGTATGCAAGGGAATTTTCAAGGGTAGGTACAAAGTCTCTGAGATTTCTTGCTATGTTTGAGGAAATAGCAAGGACACTTGAGTGGTTGGAGAGTTTTAGGAGGGAAGCCAGAGGGAGAGCAGGTATGGAAGAGCCGTTGTCACTAAGCTGATGAACCACATATCCCACTTCGGTTTTTGCAGGACCAGTGTAGTGGCACACACTTGTGATCCCAACATTTCGGAGAAGGAAGCAGAAAAACTAGGAGTTCAAGGTCAACACTGACTATGTACTGAGTATGAGGCCAGACCGAGCTTTTAAGAGACCTTCTACAAGCTATAATATATCATATATACTATACTGTACTATGCTATGCTATGCTATGCTATGCTATATACTATACTATACGATACTGAGGGACTTATTAGGAGGCCAATCAAACCAGACAGAGAAGGACTTGAGCTAGAATGACATTGGAGGACAGCTGGGCAGTGTATAGCTCATGTGTTGAGTGTTTAGCAGGTCCCCCAAGTCTCTATATTTGGTGTAGTACAAATGCTCTAGAATTCTCAAGAAAACGAAAAAGTGGCCAAGACCACCTGCTGGTTGAAATGAGGATCCTAAAATATTGGTTGGAGGTAGGGAGGCTGGGTACATAAATTGGTAGAGTGCTTGCTTAGCATGCTAAAGCCCTGAGTTCGTTCCTAGCACCAAATAAACCAGGCATGAATCCAGCACTGAGGAGGTATAGGCAGGAGAACTGGAAGCTCAAGATCATCTTTGGCTAGGTAGCAAGACTTAAGCCAGCCTTACCTACATGAGATCGTCTTAAAAAAAAAAAAGGTATTCTATGGAAGTGGTCTGGGGGTTAGACTAGAGAAGAGGAGTCAGGATGGGTGGGGTATGGAACTCCCTTTTCCAGAGAGTTCTGAGCTATATAGTGTGCCATTCGTGCGGGTTCTGAGCATTTCTAGTACCCAGGATGGCCCTGTTGCCTCTTTGCTACACATGTTATCTGCGGCTTTCTAGTCAGATGACAAATTACATGTTTGTCTTACTTATTAAATTGATTACTGATAGTATTTGTATCCAGAGATCAAAACAAAATTTCTCAGGAGACTCAAAAACAGGGCGGAGGGAAGTGCCCAGTTCACAATGCAGTGCCAGTAACAGCTGATAAATAGCCGAGAGCATGTGCTACGTCATCAGTACACAGCATTTAGATGCAAAGCATTTGCTCCATTCTTCGATTTAATCAGCATTTAGTGAGGGCTCCTCTGTGCCAGGTGCCATAGTGCATATCAAGAATGTAGAGATGAATATGTAGGGCTTGAGTCTACACATCTGGGACATTAATCAGGCACTCAAGTTTGCTCACTTGGCAAGTTATGGGAGGGACTGAGTGCTTGGAAGGGAAATTGATTTGTGTAAGATCAACATGGGCTTGTGTTAAGGGCTTCTGATTAGGTCCAGTCTCATTTCCAGGGCTGTGTCTGGGCGCCTTTTCCTCAACGTCTCTAAAGGGGAAGATGGCTCAGTGGTTAAAGGGATTGCCACAGGCCTGAGGACCAGAGTGTGTGTCCTCATGACACACAGCAATGCCAGGTGTGCATCTTGGCTCGCCTGTAGTTCCAGCCTCAGAAGGCAGAGATGGGATTCCCTAGAACCATACCAAGGTTAGCCACATCTTCAGTTCTGTGTTTGATTGAGAGGCCTGCCTCCATGGAAGAGCAATGGAGGCTGACTCCTGATCCCAGCTCTAGCTTCCACAGCATGCACATGAGTATACACATCCACACATATTTTTAAAAACCTCATAAACACGTACATACATACTATAAACACACACAAGACATGGGGAAAAATAAAGCATTTTAAATATGAGTCCCTTACCCTCTTTTCAGCTAAGGCGATGTGGAAGAGATGAACCCCCGGCCCAGGAGGACAACCCTAGCTGTTCACTGGTCCTCAGGGAAGGACTTTGTCCCGAAGGACTTGTTCTTACATCTTGGCTCTCCATGTGTAACCTTGGACTAGGAAGGGAATGAATCCCATCCACGGTTTCATTTTAGCCTGAGCCATGGAGGGCTCTCACATCTCTGGGCCTCGGTTTCCCTCTCAAGATACTGAGCTATTGCTCTAAGGAATGGAGGTGATGGTGTAGGGTAGGTGAGCAAAGCCCACGGGGTGCTGGTGATGAGCTCTGGCAACATTTGCCTGACCCTCCCCTTGGCTCTGAGCTACTCTGGGGAAAAGTGAAGAGGTGGCCTAGGCTGGCCCTTGCTTCTATGGTTCCTTTAGATAATTTTCCCTTAGACTTCTTCAGGGGAGTGTCCTGGGGCTTCCCCCAGACTGGTTTGCTTATCCCCTGTTCTTTTCCAGCCTCCACCCCAGAGGCCCTCTAGCCAATGCTGCCTATTTATAGCACCTCCTAGGGACCTGAATTCCTCCCTGGTCCCTGGCTCTCCTTTCCAAATCAGGCCAGTTTCTCTGGCAGGCCCAGAGTGCATCAGCTAATCTGGGAGGAGGGGGGCAGGTGCCAGGAAGCTGGCTTCTCTCCATGTAGTGGCCCCTATACTCTTCTTCGGGGTTAGCACACCCTGTCCTCTTTGAAGCCTGTGGAGGGACAGGTCTATCAGTCCTCTTTCTGCATAGCAGGGCATTTGATTCAAGGTCACACAAGGAGTTTAGTAGGGTGCAGAGATTTGGTGCCAGCCAAGGCTTTTCCCACTATGTCATGATGCCTGGAATTCAGTAAACACGGAATGATGGCGTTCATACTCCCTGGCTGCTAGCCTGGCACTCCCCGAACACCTGCAGATGAACTTATTTATTCCTCGCCAGAATATTTCCTGCTGCTCTTGTTTCGGGTGCCTGATAAGGAAACTGAGTCCTGGAGGTTGAGATGGTACCTCTAGGGAAGGCAGAACTCTTGGCTTCAGAGCCATGCTCTTAGCCTTTTTCAGTCAGTTACTCCCGCTGCCAGGCCCTCAGTCCAGATAAGGAATGTGG